CAGCCATTCCCGGTTTGGCTGTACAACCATTTGTTGAAAACTTTCTCTCGGACATTGACACGTCACAGGAAATCTGAAAAACATTGTCGTCGACTACAGTTGTTTGTGATGATTGGATGAACACATTGAGATACCCAAAGTGATTGCATGCTTTTATTCTAGACTTGGGTATCATCGTAAAATTTATTTGTTTACGGGTCCGATTGTTGGACGTTTGTTTTGATCCATCAAAAACACAACTCGTACATTAACCAGGCATATTTGTTTTTTTATACAGTCTAGTAAAAAGCGTGCAGCCGCTCGCTCGGATGGACAAAATAAGGAGGACTATGGCGAAGGGCCGGGTTCTAGCCGGGGCAAACACGAGGAGCAAGTACGCGGGTCTAGATATTGCAAAGAAGTTGGGGTTTCCCTTCGTACACAAGCTTTTCCTCGCGGAACAGCAGTTGCAGCCGACGTCGGAGGTCCCGATGGTGTTCATGATGACCGTACAAGGCCGGGGGTCAGGCCTGCACGTCGCTAGAGAGATGAGCGTTCCGGGGAGCGACTTGTACTTTAGCACAGCTTATATAGACGCCCAAAAGGTCACCGCGGAAGACGAGGTGTTGACGCGGATAAGCACGTACTCCCACGTTCAGAGGAGGATGCTAACGATCGCTTCGGCGCTGATAGAGTCGGAGAGCAAGAAGAACATGGTTGCGTTCATGAAGGAGCTGAAAAAGATCTGCCTAACCGGCTGGCCTGCGGGAGGGCAAGATGGGGAGGGTTTCTGGGAGGCAATCGCGCCATTCGCGCTGGATTTTTGGAGGTTGTGCTCCGACGCTGCGGAGGGGCCTGCGGCAGCGTACAGGGCGGTGGTCTCTAGCGGGGAGGGTCGGGGGGCGCTCGTCCAATGCGAGATGCACTTTAAAAAGGACCTGAGGAATGCGGAGCACAACCTGCCGGAGGACTTGCGAGGTCACCACAGGTCCTTGGTGAGGATGTGGTTGGTGTCCGAGACGGACGAGCAGTGGAAGTCGAGGTTCCACGCTCTGCTGGACTGGTACGAAGCAAAGTTACAGAACAACAAAACGGCGAAAAGAAAAATGTGCAACTGGGCGGCGTTCTGGAGATTCAAGTAAGAACGATTTAGACAGCGGCTTATTCCCATAGTATACTAAACGATCTGTGTTTGTTGTCAAGCAGTCATCGGGCTATTGTGTCAGACGAACGTTTGTTTATAGAGATGTTTCTGTGCTCTTGAAAGGTAGACAGAATGTTGTATGACCTGACTTGCAGGATCCGACTGTTTGAATGAGCAAAAATACCCAAGAAAATTGTGCGTTTTTGATACGCTGAGGTTTTCAAGAGTCTCTGTCCAACACTGAATATTATGACTCCGAGCTGGCAGGATGCAAGGAGCGTCGCATGTTGAGTGCGATGCTTGTGATATGTTTGTCGTGTTGGGCGCTGACTTTGGTATTATTTTCGTAACTCAAACCTTCAGGTCCAAGGAGCTGAAGGCGTGGTCGATGCCTGAGAACGTGAAATTTTTGGAGGAGGAGTGGGTAGCAGTGAATCCGTCCGCTAATTTGGCCGAGATCGTGAACGCTATTTTCTGGTTCTTGGTGGGAGGGAAAGGGCCGTATCTACCAAGGGGGGAGGTGATTCTGAACGAGGGAACGGGCGGCGTGTTGCAAATCGCGCGAACAGTGGAATTTGAGGAGACGGGCTACACGGGGCAGGGCCCGACGCTAGAGGAATTGCGAGCGAGGGGTGAGGAGAGGAAAAAAAGCGTGGAAACGCAACGGGAGAACGCACGGCGGATGTCTGGAGCGGCCCTAGGAGATGTCGCGAGAGGGGCGGGTCTTGCGACCGGGACGGTTGGGGGTGGGGTGAGGAACGTGGTCTCAAAAACGGCGTGGGCGGCATCAAGTCCAGGATCCGCGGGGGTGGAAAGCACGCACAGACATGACCGGGTCTTAAAGGAAGTGGATAACAGAACGAGGGAGAAGGGAAAGGGGAAGCAATCTGGAGCAGAGGAGGGTGGAGAGGACGGAGGGGTCAAGGGCAGCAGGTATTACGAGGAGCTGGCGATTGGAATTTCGGAGGGGAAAAAACAGCTGGAGGATCTACCGCTGGAGGAGAAAGAGCGTGTAGTTGAACTGCAGAGGATGGCTGCTGCTGGAGCAGCCAAGGGGGCGGCGGGCGCGAGACCGCAACCAGCCGACACACCGGGCCCAAGTAATGCGAATACGCAGCAGACTGGGGAGCAGGCAAAAGAAGCAGCAGGCCCGAGTGCTCCTAGGAGGGAAGAAGAGCCACGAGTAGCGGAGGCAGCGGGGCCTAGACAAGGTGAATGGGAGGACGAGGACGAGGTGATGGGAGAGGGTGGAGAAAGAAGTACTGAGGCGATAGGGGCGGCTGATGAGGCAGAAGAAGAGCTAATCCGGAGGAGAGCAGTAAAACGGCTGCAAGAGAAGAATTTGGGGAGAAAGGCGTCCTGGTCAGATGAGTTTGGAGCTGAGGGCTCGGAACGGGGGGGTGCGAAAGAAGGGGGTACGAAGACGGGGTCAGAGAGCGTGGCACTGCCTGGGGACGAGAAATACGAGGAAGGAGAATGGGGGGTTTGTCGATTGAAGAAAGGTGATGGCTCAGGGTGCGTCGGGGTAAAAATCGGCGGGGGAAGATGCGAGACAACGAGCTTTGAAGCCCAGAGGTATCACGGAGCATCGGGGGTGTTGGTGTTGATGCGGTGAGTGCGTCGACTCAAGCTGTAGTACTGAGTTTCGGAAAGTCCTGCAGCGTACGTGGTACTCGACCGGTTGATTTGATCATATCGCTGTCATAGGGTCAGGATTAAAACATGTACTAGTCTCGAGCTTTCATTATTACTTGCAATTCGGTGTACTTGAATCTATCAGTGCCGAATCCTTGGCCACATGATTCTCGATAGCATCACATGCAGGATGCGATGCTTAAACGTATCAACTATTTTGTGCACAGCCAAGCGTTCCGCCACTTCGGCCTACAAAACAGGCAGGGAGAGTACGAGAACACGGGCATGAAATACATGTCTTACGCGAAGATGTGCATTGACGGCCCGTGCGACAGTCGCCAAGGAACCAACAAAAGTCTCGTGGACAAGACGACGCCGGAAAAGGGGAACGAGGTGGGGATTTTCGAGGGGACTCTCCTGAGTGACTCGGAGCTCGCATGGCTGCGACAAGCGGGGTGGAAAGTAAACCCGTTCTACATCATCAGCCTACAAAAGGTCCACTCGGAGCAAGTGACGTATAAGGGGCAGGTCAAGCAACGGGGAAAACCGCCCCGGAACGACGGGTTGAGCGACGTCGAGAACGAGTCGGAACGGCAGCGGCGGCAACGGGAGGAGGCTGCTGCGCGACGAGCGGAGAGGGAATTGGAGAGAGAGAAGAAGGAGGTGGAGAAGGAGATGGGCAAACGGCCGAGCGAGCGTCCAGAGGGAAGGAAGGTGAAGAAAGTGGGAAGGGTGATCAGAGATATGGAAACGCGGCTGGAGCAGGCGCTGGAGATGGAAAGTACTGTGCACGTGGAGAAGTACGTGCAAAGGGAGTCGATTGAAGTTCTGGTCGAAGAAGCCTCAGCGCTGTTTTCGACGAGAATAGGAGGGAGGTACAGGGTTACGATAGACGCCGCCCCGAGGTGTGACGAGATTTGTCCGGAGTACGTGGAGATGAAGGAAAAGAAGTCGGGGAGCTGGGTCCACTGCAGACACGTGTACGCGGTGCTGCGGGTGGGACTGAGGCTGTTCGACTTCACTGACGGAGACGACACAGGGGTGCCGTTGATCCACCAGGCTACGTTTTCGGAAAAGGAGCTTAGATCGATTCTGTCACAGGGCCTAGACGTCAAAGCGATGGGGGGAGAATTAATGGAATACGCAACAGAAGAAGAGTAGTGCTAATGATGCTACGACCGCAGCTGGTCCTAATACCAGCATTTGTTTTTGGCAGTCTGTACATAAACTGAACGGTGTATATGCATGAACTAGTGATGTGCCACTTGCTTGTAAGCAGTTGAATTGAAGGGAAGTTTGAATGTTTTCGATAACGCTCACTGATATCAAATGATACATGTATGTGTATGTGTGTTGCTTGTCAGCCTTAGGTATGTCAGTAAACCCAATGGAACACGCAAATGGATGAACGGACTAAGAGTCTGTAGAATGTCAGAAGTTGGTTGTCCTGCCAGTTGTCCTAAAAAGGCTCGCGCGCAGGCGACAAACTTAGCTGCCACCCGGCCGCCGCGACCGACCTTAAGGTGGAGGTACTGCGCTCATATGCAATATAAGTGTGGGTGAAAGTAACAGTAGTAACCAATGTACACATTAGCTATCTTTTAATCACCAGGGATACTTTATAAGGTTTTTTTCGCGGCGGTTACGGGAAAATGCAGTCACCCATTACAGGCGCTAAAATATACGGAAGAATTTACCGTATGGTCATAAGCATCGCATGGTGGATGCGATGCTTGAACAGCAATGCTAAACAAAAAGTCCGACACCATATGTCAACGAATCAATGATGCAACCACGGACGTAAGTACAATCTAAAGGTCCTAACCCTAAAACCCTAAATACATATTATGGACTTCAGCCGTATTCACCCGGCGATACATTTCGAATTTTCAGAAAGCTGCTGACGTCACTTTCGCGGCGACCACTGTCCGCTCGCGCCGGCCACACGTACGCTCACGGGCCCACGGTCGCGCTCATACGCTCATGACATAAAGCTCATACATAACATAGACTCTTGTTCAACCCCCGAGTTGGACACTTGAGTCTTGAGATGTAGATCGGCGTGGAAATGGTCAAGAGGACCTCGTATGTCACCAGCTTATGGCAAGAGATCCAGACCTTGCGCTCGAGTGTTCCCCCTACCAGGGGAAGTTGGGTTGGAATGGAAGATCGCGCCAACTCCGAGATTCCGGCCTACCGCACTTAAAGTGCCCGGTTCACTCTCGAGATTCATAGCTATTAATGAAACCGGTCCCGTCATATAGTTCACCATCCCTTCTAAACCGTACGAATATTGTAATTTATGGAGCGAGCGGACAATAGGACAGGATGGAAATGAGGATCTCGTGTCCTTGTCCCCTCTCATACTTGACCAGACTGTGACCTAGAACTGTATCAATATTGTGATTTGTAGAGCGAATCGACAGGAGGACAGGACAGAGAGGATATTGTGCTTTCCTTGCCATTCAGAATCTATGTGAGACAAGGATACATGGGGCGCACCTTAGATACATACATGTTGGCAAGCTCGGACGAAATCCGAAAGAGTTTTACTATGATTTGTTATGATTTCTTTTTTTTCTGGGGAAGGAATTATAACAACAGAAACGATTAAATATAGAGTTCCCTTTGCGATCCATTCGCCAATATATGTATGTCAGGCCATACCCCAAAAAATGCAATTTTGTAAATCTAATTTTGATTGTTTGGAGAAGAAAATATAACAAGATTGGCAGTATGGAATTTTCTCCCTCGGATCCAATTGCTAATATGTATGTATGTAAGCCTGTGTACAGATGTAAGGCCATACCGGGAAACACACAACGTTGTTATGCACTCTTCGGAGAAAAAGGATTTTCCCTCCAAGTAAGGTAGTAATACTTCTTTGGTATCCAAGTGCCTGGGTTATCAAGTGGTCACTTGGGTCCGTACCGGCTCCGAGAGAGCCTTTCGACCCCTGGTACGACCCTCCCGGACAACATCACACCTTTGGGCTCTGGGGGTTATGACGTGGCGGCCTGTGAGTGGCCCAAATTTAACACCGAACTTTATTTGGCTTGCTGCCGCTTCAACCATGGCGCTGCGCCGCAACGGTCGGTTCCGCTGCCAAGAACTCCTAGAGTGTGCTTCCTGCCACCTTCCTGCACATGGCCGTCAATCAGATCTGCCAGTGCAATCCAAACTCAGGAAGCTGCTATTCACCAAAAGGAACAGTACTACAACGGGTATTAGCACTGGCAGCGCTGCTTAGCAACTTGCAAGGGCCATGACGCCACTCAAGCTGATCAAAAGGTGGCTGCCTGGCCGCCAGCTCTACAAACTCAGGGAAGCATTGTTTCCTCTTTCTCACTACCTACTGCTGACCTGACTGGCTCAGAGATGCTGTGAACTTGCACTTGAGAGGGCCTAAACCTCACTGTCGGCACCCAGGTTCTTGCTATCTACCAGAATACAATTGCGAGAATTCTGACTGGCAAAAGTGCGGGGCTCTCAAACCAAATGCAAAATGAGCTTTTGCCTTCTATAAGAGAAAACGGTATGCATCCAGTCATTGCCTGATTGCAATGCCTGATCGCAGCTCTGCTTTGTGGCATCTCAGGCTGCGATAACTTGCAATGCACTGGAAATGCTGATGCCTAGCAAGCCTACCACTCAAAGTTGTGCCCACACTAACCTCAAGACAAATCAACGGAACGCTGATGTTGGTGCACGCATTGGCTAAGCGCTACCGTTTTGGATATGGCCAGTCTTGCGTGTCTCCTCCATTTAGCATACACGTTGGTTGAGAAAAGAAGTGCCAGGCATTGCTGCAATTCTTTCCGAATGAGGGTCTTCTTCATGCTCTGACCAATTGCCAACTTTGAAAGCGCTATTATTCTTGACCACCTTGGGTTTGCTCGAGGCTCTCATGCCAGGTCACGCCCAAGCAGCAAATCAGAGTTGCTCGCTATATCGTGGTACCTTTTTCTCCTCTACCGGAGGAGTTTTTTAATGGCCTACTAACCAACATCTCTTGACCCCTACACAGGCATGCACTGACATGGGCACAACCATGCCCTCTGGAGACCACGACGAAGGCTGCGGCAACTGCAGGCAACGCATGGGCTTCTGATATTGCCAAGTTGGAAGATGCCACCAAGCTACGCCAAGCAATAGCACAATCCAGCGCCCACAAATTAATAATATGTCTAGCAGTCAAACCCAAAGTCCAGCTCTTCGTCGTGTTAGTCTCCAGAGTCAGTTGCACGCCAGTTACAATAATGCAAACACATTGGGATGAGTATGGCATGTATCATTAGTTTCAACTTTTTGCTTGTTGCATTTGTAGCTTTAGTATAGGAGTCTAGGAGATTGGACATGACTTGCAGCCGTAGCAAGCTGCAGAGTCAACTCATTGTACCGTCCCGGTCTCACCGGCAGACTTTGCCCGATGGCTCTATGTGGCTCAGGGCGTTAATAAACCGTAAGTTACCATCCTCGACTCGGCAGTCCGCCGATACATTCTACCGTACATGCTGCCCACGACCGTAAGTCGCTTCTTGCACTTCTATGAACCAGGAGTCATCGTTTCTAACGTGTTCCCCATGATTCTGCATTACAGGCATGAGCAATAAGCCCAAGCCCAAGCCCAAGCCTTTGGCAAAACTCCATACCATGGAGCAGAGGAGTCTGTTAAGCAATTATCCAGAAGGACTGACTCTTATTCGGTATGAAGCTTTGTCCATCTAAGTTTCTTGCCAACTGCAGCGCATCCTATTCTGGAACGGCCTCCCTCGATCGTCCTTTATTGCATGGTGCTAAAACGCGGGCCAGCATTCTGCCGTTCATTGTTGCATTGTTGAGCACCAGTGACAGCTGTCAGCAAATGACTTTCTATCCGTTGTACTACTTGGTGCACTGGATTCCGAGGTATGTGATAAGGTGCCCCGCCGGTTCCTTTTTCCCCTCATTGAAAAGATCCCCTAAGCTATGAAGTACGGGGCAGGGGTTTTTAAATGGCCGGCCGGCGTGTTGCGTGTCACTACCTAGATCAAATCTCAGCAGAGTTCCGCAAGCCTCTACTGAGGACTCGCCTATGCGAGCTTCTTCCTATCCGCTCGGCCACCACGATCTCTAGACTACTGTCCACGTACGCCCATGGGTCTCGAATAAGTAGATGCCAAAGTCTAGTACGTCAGAGGTAGTTGGTACAGAGAACATGCAGCTGGTAGAGGCGTAGTCGAAGCTGAGCTAGAGACATGAGATAGCACTGAGGCACAAGGGACTAACACTCATACATGTATGCCATGAGGAGCCTCTGGCCTATAGGCTACGGCGAGTATATGAAAGTGACCATCGTTCAATGGCGGGGCCCGCCAGCCTTCATGTCTTTAGCTTATAGTATCGTATAACTAGTAAGATTTGCTAATATAGCAAGCTTCAGAGATGGTCAACTCATTGCATGTATTCCAGTCTCACCGGAGTGTTGTTCGATGGCTCAGCTGGCATGGCTCAGGGTTTATATGAGCTCAAGTGACCATGAATCGAACTCCTTGATGGAGTCGCGAGGTGCATGCCGGGATGCAATTTTGTAAGTCATGCCGCAGTGCATGCCAGCCACGCTGCAATGAAGCGACCGTAAATTATAGCACAACAAAGTGCATAACCATTAATGATTTTGTTATAATGGTTATACACGTGCTTGGTTGATCCATCTGCCAGTCTCACGCATCAACAGAATCGACTGACCTCAGAGACCTTCAATACCAGTTTCGATCGAGTCTTAACATGAGTAAAACACCACTTCCTCGATGCTGAACTAAAGCATCTTATTCTGTGGCGTCTAAATGGTGGATCAGCTTTGAAGTCCTCACCGTGTAAAGGTACTCTTCTAAAGTTGCAAGTTTCGGCTCCCTCCGTTCCTGGTGCCCAACAGTTGCTGTCTCGGCTTTTCAAGGCCCAGCTTGACGATATAAGTCTTTGCATCTTGTGAGCTCAATGAGTATACCCGTCATCTGTTCCAACATCGTTCAACGGCACTCTCCTCCCCCACGTTTCCCCATAGTATCTCCCCGGCGTGGGCGGCAGCTCAGCCTTCTGCACAAGGCACGTGACAGCGACAAAATGGTAAGCTAGAAGTTTATCTTCAACCACGGTGGAAAAGCCTTCATATTGTCATCCGCCTATACTAATAGGACAAGACCATAAACCAACATGGGGCATCTGCTGGCAGTCTCCCGACAAGGCTCCTCAAACATTCTCACAAGCCTGCAACTTGGGGCCTGCCGAGTACTTTTGACGCACCTCCGCTTCAATCGCTGCCATCTCCTTGGGGTCGAATTGGACAATACTCCTCGTTCGAGGCTGCCGTCGGCTGTCGCGCTCTGCCGTCAGAAATGCATTCAGATTACTCTGCTCGCAGCAAGAGAAGCGCTTCTACAGATTGCCTAAAAAGAATCAATTGTGAGCTCAATCTTCTGCAATCAGGGCTTTTCAACTGAATGCTTATTGCATGAAAATGATCAAAGGTTGCCAAGGAAAGTCTTCAACGCGTGAGTCAAGGCACTGCCACAAGATTTAGCTCTTCCTCTGCGCTCAGAATGTTGAGCTCACCGTAGTATTTGATATTGTACACGTGGTCAGGTTCTGAATGAGGGATGTAAACTCTCTTCGGAGCAGTCCTGGATGAATGAAGGATCCCTCTTCAGTGTGAGTCACCCTATGCCTTTTTGGGACAGACCATTCAGGTTGGGTCATTTCCAATCAGTCTCAATCGGCAACATCTCATTCACACTTTCGCAGCCCCAGTCTGGTGATTACAATCTCAATCAAAGCCAGCAGAAATGAGTCACAAATGAGTCACTGACTGTTTCAAACAAGACAAAAGTGGGCTTAACAAGTCCTACCCTAGTCGTACCCTTTCAATATGCTGTATGCTGATTGGTGAAAGAATTGGATTACAAACAACAGATGCTTCTGATGCCAATGGTGGACATACCAATAATGCTGAAGATGCTTATTCAAATGCACTTCGTCGTCTACTCTAGACTTCAAGATCAGATGGCTCCAGAAAGGTCCCTAAAAGACCATCAAAAGTTTGCTTTGCAACAAACCTCCTGCGGAAAAAGCGTTTTTACAAGCCACCACCCAGATCCCTGAAGTTCACGAGTACACAATGCTCACCCAGGTCCCCACTTCCTGTACTCGCCAGCATCTGGAACTGACTCCAAGTATTCCTGACCCGCTGCTGGTCCTGTTATCTTCCAGGGAGGTTTGATCCGCAAAGACTTGGTGAGGTTGGATAGGAAACTGGTGGCTTTCTGCGCAGCCATGGCGCGTCTTGCTGACTCGGTTTGCCAGACACCACTTTCCGAGTGCTGTTTCAGCCTTCAACTTCTGAATCTCAGGCTTCACGAATTACAGTTCACTGCTTCTTGCCAGAAAACCTGCGTGCATGTCAGTTTTATCAAAAGCTGTTGACAGTGATGTTCATACGACCCCCTGGCAGGGGATCATAACCCCGTATTCAGAGAGGATTCCAATCATATAACCACCGGGGTATCCATTGAGCAGATCGTTGTGACGATATAGCCTATACGGGGAGTACCGTTTGTTAATTGCAGAAGTTAATTCATCCAAAAGTGCATCGTCTCTTGTAAACTAGGCATCGAACCTATGCTTCAAGTACTCGGTTATGGCCATATAGGGAGGTACTTCCGAGCTTTTTCAAGGGGCACATTGACAAACAGTGAACACCAAGTACGTCTGGTGACCTTGAAACTTTGGTCGAAGGAGGTTTCTCTGCTGAGCAGCAGCTGCCTTGCAACGCCAATGGTGAGATTTTGAATCCTGATGGCCTGAAGGTTGAGATCGAGCTTTGGCGCGGGTTGAAGACAGGATGTGGGCCGAGGACGATTTGGAGGAGGTCGGGGGCCGCTGGGGTGCCAATGAGAGGAGCACTTCTGTACGGGCGCGGCCGCAGGAGTCGGCAGTCAGCGAGAAAGCCCGCCAGCAATTGGGCAGTCGGGGCGCTGGCAATGGGGAGAAGGGGACCCATCAGGCGGAGAGAAGCCCCAGGGACAACGGAGGTAGAGCAGCACGCAGGGATGGAAGCAGATACGATTACAGGGTTGACGATGACCACAAGTATGGAGGTGGCAGGCGAGGGCAGGGCAGCCCTGGCAGTGACAGGAGGGGCTCGCGGGGGGACATGCCGCGTGACTGGATCCCTGACCGGTTCAATCGGAGTGAGCAGGGCGGGAGGCCCAGGGAGGATGGGCTAGAAGCAAGGGAGGCATGGGGTGGCGGCCGTGGACATGATGGCCCGGTGCGCGGGGGCGGGCGCGGGCGCGGTCGGCGGGACGACTCCGGGACGGATGATTTGCCGGTGCTGTACTCCATCCACCGGGCGAGCGTGCAGTCGGTGCGGCCCTTTGGGCTGTTTGTCAAGCTGGAGGGCTACCGCAGGAACGGGCTGGTGTGAGTGCCGCACCACCGAATCCAACGGGCTGCACAATTGAGCAATGGGTAGTCTTATTGCAGCATGATTCTCACGAGCTCACGTTTAAGAGCGGAACCCTCGTCTAACGAGTGCATGAATCATCACAGGCACAGCTAGGAAGCAATCGTGTGCACTTCTTGTGGTCCTTGATGGTGGTGGTGGCGCGCTGCGTGTCCACATGTTGCGCTGCCCGCTCGTCCCCTGCTGGTTGCGCCCCCGCTGTGAGGAGTGGTGTGTTGGGTGCAGGCATGTGACGCAGGTGTCGGACCACGAGGTGACGCGCAAGGACGACGCGGAGGACGCCAAGGTGGACGCACTGCGCGGGGTGGCCACCGAGGGGGACCACGTCTGGGTCAAGGTGGGCATGCCCGCCCCAAGACAAGAGCACAACTGGTCTGAGGGGCATCGGCGAGACCAAACCCCAGGAAAACCATGGAGCTTTCAGATTGAAGCGTCCCTGCATGACATTGACTAAGCGCGCTACCCGTCACGGCTGCACCGCTGATGTTCGACTGTGCACACAGGTGATCTCGCTGAAGGAGGGCGAGGGCGGCGGCGGCCCCAAGGTGGGCTGCTCTCTCAAGCTGGTGTCGCAAGCGGACGGGCGCGACCTGGACGCCAACAATCTCATCCTGGACAAGCACGAGAGGAAGCCCGCCTGGCAGCAGCCACAAAAGTGAGCGCCGCACCGGCCCTCCCCGCAGGCGGGGGGACCCAAGGGCTGCGCCCGTGCCTGGGGTTGACAAGTCGTTGGAGCAACAAACCCAGGCACCGAGAGTATGGGAACCGCTGAACGCTTCCCCCAAGTTCAGATAAACGAGTGCCTGTGGGCCATCCCACCTCTTCGTTGGAACCTCGCTACAATCCTCTGGAGTTCCGTCCTTGATTGTCACGTCTTTGGCGTGCGTGCGCGCAGGCTGGAGCTGGGGGCGGTGCTGGCCGTGACGTGCACGCGGTGCGGGGGCCGCGGCCATCTCAAGACCGACTGCTACGCCGCACTTGACACGCACTACGACCTACTGCCAGGCAAGGCTGTCGATCCAAGCTAGAGGCCTTCGATCGTGATGTTTCACAGCACGGCCTGGCCCTCTGCACCTGCCTGAGTCGTCAGCTTGGTGTAGTCGAAGCCGAGACATGCCCCATCATCAAAATGGATCACAGGACTCCGTTGAGACAGGTGACAGCTTGCCGTGAGCTCAGACCGCCAGCATGAACCAGGCATGCCCTAAAAACTTGCGCTTGCTGATGCAGAAGAGGACGAGGCCGCTCTACCCACTGCCAGGCCAGGCGTTGGGGCGGCCGCTGCGGCAAGCAGGGGGCAGGGATCGGGGGCTAACGACGTTCCGCTGGGCCGGGGCCGGGGCATAACCCAGCCAGCCTGGATGACACAAAGCAGGCCGGAGGGCGGCCCCGTCATCGGACAGCCAGTGAGAGAAGATCGAGGAGCGGCAGCCGTTTTACCCGCTCATATTGGCACTGTCGAGGAAGCTCTGGCGGTGATTGAAAAGTTGAAAAAGGAAAAGAAAGAGCGGAAAGCGGAGCGCAAAGAGCGGCAGAAAGCAAAAGAAAAGAGGAGGCGAAAACGAAGGAAAGGGGGCAGCAGCAATGAGAGCGAGAGCGAGAGCGAAAGCGAGAGTGAACGGAGGAGGAGGAAGAGGAGAAGGAAAGAAAGAAGAGAACGCAAAAGGAAGCAACAAGAGGGGTCTGAGAGTGCTAGTGACAGCGGCAGCGGTGAGTCCTGTGGAAAGAACGAGCGAGGACAGAAGCATGAAGGCAGGGGCCGGAGTCGCAAGAAAAGCATGGATGGCTGATTAACTAAACCGACGATGCGAGTCGACTCGCATGCAGCGAGCGTCACGATCATTCGAAAAGCCGTGTTTACGTGGGCCAAGGGCCGTGAGGGGCCGTATGTTCGCATATACATAAGCAACTAGTGGGACGATCCATCCCAAGCCTGGTCTCCGAAGCCGATGTCGTATACCTTCCATTGATGCTAGATCAAGCGTCATGTTTGAACGTTCCAACATGCCCTAGCTGGCACTGGCCGCCCCATGCAACTCATGTGACGTGTTGGCTCCTATCATAGACCGCACTTGCTTTGCATGTACGTTCTGATTTGAAACTTTTAAGTCTGATTGTGGACGATCATATTCTATCGCGCCGGCTCATGTAGATATTTCTCGCATGCAACTGCATGAAGCTCATCGGACAGCTGCGGCGGCGGAAACAACCGCCTTTGTCTGTGCGATCTAGAGCTGCATGCAGTTCAATGCTCATGACGGTCATGCGTACTGCACATGCCAGAATCATGATTCAATACAAATTGCAATCCAACTCAATGATCATTCAGTTTACTTCATCTTGTATGGTAACCGTCATGCATGTACGTACCGAGCTCCGGCACTCAAGTGCAACTGAACGAAGGCCGGCCCGTTGAACATGCGCAAGAGATCTGACGATCGAGATCAAGCAGATGGTCTCTCTGGACTCGCGAAGCATATACTAGCTGTACGTGTTTCAATCTATCTAGCTAGCACTGCAATCACGGGACTGCATCAAACGCCGCACGAATCAAGGAAACATATCGTATCTATTATATTGTGCGAGTGTGCTAGTGTTGCGTATCATTCCACTTCGCTTCTCACTCGGCCGTACGAGTCTCCTAACTCACGTACTAGCTTTCGAAGAAGTGTCTATTTGCCGATCCGTATATTCTCTGTGCGACTTTTACATCCCCCATACACCCTTTCTCAAAGGTATCACCACGCGTGCCCCTCACTATACACGTATCTACATATCATTCTTGCGCGCCTGCGCTCCCCATTAAGCCTCCTCTGCTTTTCCTCCCCGGGCCACGACTCCCCCCCTCTCATGCATCCTGGGGGGCCTGCCCGCGTGCTCTTTCTAGCCCTCCCCCGCCAGGAGCGGCTCTGTGGGCAGGCCCGCCAGGCTGGCCCGGTCGACGCCCATGCCTGAACGGATGGAGAGAGGGAGCCTGAGCACACGTCATGCCGCCTGCTCTCCCGCCAGCAGCGGCTCCGCCGCCCCGCTCCGCACATTCCGCCCTGAACAGAGGGGTGGGAAGAGACGTGCTCGCCATTAGCACGGCCCTAATCTTGTGCAGTTGTCTTCACAGGCGACCGCAGAAATGGAAACCAGGAAGCACAGCAACCCATTCCTCAGCCGAACCCTCTAGCCTTAGCCAAATCAGCAACAATTGCTGGCTGGTAGTGGCCGGGTAATCTTTCCTTTTGTGTTTCATCAATTAATAGGGCAGGCGATTGTTGACTCTGAGTCTCAGGTAGAAGGAGCAATTGGGAGACGAGAAGGAGTGATCGATGAGATCAAGCGGAGACTCCCGGCCAAACAGAGAAAATCTGTCCGACACGCAAGATCAAGCATTGCTGCGCAAAGTAGAATACTCTATCGAGTGCCTCTACGACCCGAGGAACATGGCCTCTCATGCCAAGAAACAGAAGAAGGTTTTCAGCAAGATTTAAACAAGATCCAAGCGCCTGCTTTCCAAAGATGCAGAGCCGCAAGTAGGCACCGCACCATGTCAAACCAGAGCAAGCAGTAGTAGCGCCTGAGGAAGACCCAAAAACGCGCATTATCATGTCAATAGATGAAGACGTGATGCTTGTAGTGAGGCGCCGCTCACCGAGGTTGGCCATGCACGCGACGAGGCCGAGCGCGGCACCGGTGACGACGAAGTCGACCCCGACCAGCACGCCCACCACCCACGTGGCGGACGCGGGCCACTGCGCGAGGATGAGCACCGCCAGCGCGAGCGAGAGCAGGCCCGATACCAGCACGGACGGCCACGTGGACAGGTGGCGCACCTGGTACGCCAGCACCAGCTTCGACAGCCCGCTCGCAAAGAACCTGCGCGGCAGCGGGCGCACGCGCACGGGGTCAGCAGCGCAGTGCTGAGACACAGGAGGGGTCGCTAAGTGAGAAGGCGACACATGGTATGCGGATCAGACATGTGCCCAGACCCGGCAAATACGGCAGAACATATGGGCGCTCTGTGGCCCTGCCCCGCTCGGAGGCGGTCGCTCTTGGGCAATGACCAGCTGGCCCTCGTACGAAATGCTCAAGAGACGGAACCGCGCCCCTTGAGCGGCGAGTGGCTGACCATGCTGCGATGAGGAGGGTGAGGCCGGCGAGGCCCTCGACGGGGGAGGTGACGAGCCAGACGCCGACAAAGAGGTTGAGGCCGCCCAGGAGCAGGTTCATGCTGCAGCCCGGGGCGGACACGCCGCACATCTGCAGGCCGTGGACCACCTGCACGATGCCACCTGGCAAAACAACGCACAGACACACGTGAGCAAGCCGGCGGCAATAGTGCAGGCGGAGGGAATACGAGGTGGGCAGGAATTGAGGCTTCTGACCGTGCCATGAAGGCAACAAGACAAATAGCTCGCGAAGCAATAAACATCACAGCAGAGGGCGGGACACAAGTGAGAAACCACAGACAGCCGTCCATGGAAAAGAAAAGCAGCCGTTTACATCCCACAACAGTGTTGGCTTGCAGTGTGGGTGCGCCACTGACCGAGGACGAAGAGCACCCCGAGGAACTGCTCGATGACGAGGCTGAAGAGCAGCGGCGCCGCGACGGCCACCACGCCGATAACCACCAGGATCAGGCTCAGCACCGTGAGGCCCGTGGAGAGGCGCTCCAGCTGCTCGGGGGGGACCGGGCCGCGCAGGGGGATCACCTGGGGGGGGATTGCGACACCCTCCGTTAGCATAGGGGCAGAGTAGAACTCGAGAAGGCTCGATCTGGGGTTTTCCTTGGATTGATTAAATTTATTTGACCAACCCGGAGTACAAATAGAAAGGGAAGATCAGCATTACGGGCTTCTGGTGCACAGCGATGCAAAAGGCTGGGACCTCAGAGTAGAAGAAGCCATAGAAAAAGTGCACGAGAGTGATGAGACTGGTTTCAAAAGAGGAGCAAAAAGGAGGAATTCTAAACGCAGGCGCCACATGTTGATGATTGTAACCATGGATGAGATGAAAGAGAAGAGATTGAGGAATTCAGAAGTTCGAAGCAGAGGAAGTTCGAAATTGAAAGTGGAGTGTACTAGCTTGGAGAACAGGACCAGCGAGGAGGAGGAAAGGACAGAGGGAGGGGGGGATTGCAGCTACAAAGAACAGGCCACAGTCAAAGACAGAAAGACTCTAAGCAGCCACAACTCAAGCATGACTCTAAGCAGGCACAAGAAAGAGACGAATTTTAAAAGCTGATCAGGGGTCAACGGCTTGAGCTTCAAACCCAAGAAGACAAATACTTGGACTGACAGGTTACAAGCAATCACAAGTAGCCACTGTCTATGCAACGTCAGCTTGAAGAGGCATCACCAACCTCAAAAACTCTTTTGGTCTGTTGGATTTGTTGCGCATACCGCAAAATTAACGACCCCCACCGCGGTGGCCGCCTCCCTGGGCGTCCTCACTGCGGGAGAAGGGGTGCGGCCGACCTCCGAGGAAGCTGCACCACAATGACAGGAGCACACAAATCAGACAAGCAATCTAGGCACAGAATCCAACCGGTGCCTTCCAAGGTGCATGGTCTGTCGTATCAGGATGGAGTGCACTCTGCCAGAAAGGGCAAAGCTCGTAGAAAACTCAAAAATGCCTCTGGTTCACTGGCATATGTGGGGCAACAATCGAATTTTTCATTTCCAATGGCCGCCACTTGATACTTGTCTGGTTGCAAAACGTTAGGCTGGGACCCAGCAGAACCTCTCACAAATATCTGGACAACTCGTAATTTTCAAAGGGTGGTGAGCATAGCCCCTCATGACCCATCCTGCATTTACACAACAGAGAACATGAGGACTAAGACTTTGAACCACAGCATTTTCTGTGGTGGTAAGAAGTTTCTTTCTCCATTGAACTGTTGTGGAACAAAGGGCATGCCCAGAACAAATGAGGCACACATTGAGAGCAATACGTCCCATTTTAAAAAAGTGAAGGCTCTTTAACTTCAAGCAACACGGCTCTTCTCCAAATACGTGCAACATCTGCAAAGTGCATGCATTTCTGCATCAATGCCCAAACAATGCTGCACCACCCGGACAGTTTCATAAAGACAGACGCAGTGTGGTGGTCCTCTGTACTGCCTTCTTCCCCTACTCATCAACTGATTCCCTCGTGCATGCCAATATCAGAACAGTCTTCAGCATTCCATTCATTGGGCTGTTGCCCACCTGCTGGTGCTTGTGCCCTCTTGCTTGCCTCTGCTTCATGCCTGACCGGCACCTCGTGACTGCTGGGCTGGGCGGGGGCAGCGCCTGCGCCGGGGGCCGGCGGGACGTCCGCGGTATCGCCCATGTTGGAAGGGTTTCCTCGCATGATGGTGGACACAGGTGAAGCGAACAAGGTCTGAGCTGGCAGGGCTAAGGCTTTGATCCAATGCTCGATCCAAATGAATGCTGTCAAGCACGAAGCCCGAGGGGCCAAGCCAAGGCCCAGGGGCAGCAGGGAATTATAAAGCTGTCACAACAACTTTCAAGCTGCGAGGTCACCCTTCCCAAGTTTAGGGTTCGCCAAACCCTAATCCTGGAGTTGGCACTGCCCAACGTCTCGATCATCGCCAGAGCAAATGCGAAGGCCACGTGTAGAGCAGAGTCCAGGGCGCCACTGATCGGGATGTCTGTGTGCTTCTTCCTAGCTCGGGCGCCGCCATGACGGACTTCCCCAGCGAGGCGCTGCCCGCCATCCTGTCTGCACTGCGTGGCTCGGACCTGCGCACACTGCTGGCCCTGCTCAGTGTGAGTAAGCAATGGCGCGAGGCCGCCCTCGCAGATGCCGCCCTCTGGACGTCCATTGTGGTGCCGCCCTCCCTTGCTCCGCGCCTCACTGACGAGCGCCTCCGGGCCATTCTGCTGCGGGCGCAGCGCCGCGGCTTTGATGAGATTGACCTGACTGGGTGCGTCCAGCTGACGGTGGAGAGCCTGGACGCCATTCTGGAGGAGTGTGCGCGCTTCCCGCGCCGCCTCAGCTTTGTGGGCTGCCCCCAGCTGCACTGGACTCACGTGCTGGCCCTCCTGGAGAAGCTGCAAACGGCGTGCCAACCCCTGGCGTCGGTGGCCCTCCGCACAGCCAGCAAAGAGGGGCACGCAAGAGTACCAGTTTCGCAGCATTGCCCAGCTGCTGATGGCGGGTGGTCAGAGAGCTACTTAGAACTTCCTGGGGGTAAAGTAATCCGCAACCCGCACCTTCCTAGGGCGAATCTTCTGGGCGCCACCGTGCGGGAGTCGGCGCCTGTGAGTGCACGCGCGGCGCCCAAGCTGGTGCGGCCGGAGCGGCGGCTGCGCGAGCTGGGGGTGGCGGGGATCGACTTCCGGCGCTGCAAGTGGCGCGAGCTGCGCACGCTGCAGCAGTACGCGGAGCGCCTGGACGTGGGCGAGTGCGAGGACGAGCGCTGCTTCCAGATCCGGCGTGTGGCGCCGTGCGCGTCGTGCCTCTGCGAGTGCTGCGAGCAGCACCTGTATCGCTGCAGCGTGTGCGGGGGCCGCACCTGCCGCGAGCACTGCTTTGACCGCACGGCCGCAGACACGGAGCCGCGCCTGGGGGTGTGCTACCGCTGCCACCTGCGTGGTCGGCAGCACCGCCTCGCTCAAGCGCAGGAGTCAATGGTGAGGCGCGGCTGGATTTGACAGGGTTCAACATTGTTTTGCCCGTTGCAGTGAGTCTGCTCTGGACGTTGGACAGGCAGTCCCGAACTTTCGAGATCTGTGTCTTGTCAGGCATATGGCAAGTTCAACACAAGTTGCACTTGAGTGGAGCTTCAAGTTATCATTGACTTGGATTGGTTTCTGTGAGGTCAGATTCCAGCAGTGAAGAGCACGGAATGCAGCAACGTCTGAGTGGGCACATGCTGATGTTGGATACACCCGAGCAGGATGATCCACCTAACAGCAGAGATCCGCTCTTTCTGCAGGTACTCCCAGAGGTCAGTCAAGAAACGCGGAATAATCAATAAGCCAGATAATGATGGAAAGCTGTTCCGTCAAAGACCGAAGGCCCCCTCCAAGGGACTTCTGTTGCTTGCATAGTTGAGGAATTGTCGTGCAGGGCTCCAAAGCAAGGCAGGTTTAGGATACTTTGCCAAGCGTCTCCCTCCTTCATGGACTTGCAGGTAAGATAGTGTTGAGTCGCACAGGCAAGGAGCGTTCAAAGGTGCAACACTGTCCTCGACTGATGCACTTGACTAGGTCAGATTCTTAGGAAGTTCACTACTAAGTCATTGTATTGGAGACATGGACGCGCGGACGTTGTCAGGCCACATCGGTATTGAATCGAACTTGCATGAGCTAGGCTAAGTTTTGATCTCGATAGGAGTTCTGAAGTGACTGATAGGTTTGCAAGGAGACTCAGGTTGTTTGACTATTGACAGGCTGCGAAAATGCATGTATAGCTAGAAATGACAGACAGAACTTTTGTTATACTTAAGGGGGAACTTTTTGTTTGCCTGTTTCCGGCTCGCCGTCACTTTTTTTGGCCCCGATTCTCGTTCCAACCGTCTAAATTTGGAGATCTGACATTCAAGCACACTGACAGCTACTACATGCGATCGAAGAATACATGCATCATTCAATCCGATTGCAAATGTTTTCGAGTTGTACTCAATTCGATCGCGCGCATTATTTCGATATCATAGACCAGCTAGGCGCAGAATAGTTGAGTCCGAATTTGATCATATCAGGCGTGCGGCACATGTCAACGAAGGCCCATCATGGGCGCGTAAGTACTCATTGAATCAGCTCTTAAATGATCGATCAGACCATTTGATGCAACATGATCATGGCGGCCTGGGCCAACCGCGGGATATACTCAATTGATTGCATGACCGAACAATTGAGCGGTACGATTCGGGTAATGATAATTGCTGCGTAACGCTCCACATAATTTCACATGGTTAATCAAGTTGATGCAAGAACTAAGCGGACCTCCAATCCAAAGATCATGAACTTGAATTGCACACAGAAATTGGATTGCTTCTTCTTTGCATGGGCCATGTATAAAACGCAATCGTCGTACATGTATGTATCCGAACGATGAAGGTATATACAAGTGCGGAGCATTTTAAGGCCGTCGCGCGGGCGCTGGTCGGGGCTGGCGGGCGCTTGTTCCTGCGCCGCGGCCGGGCCTGTATAGAGCCTCGGACTGGCATGGGCCCCCACTGAGCCTTTGTCGAAATCTATCAAACAGTACCCTTGGTCGAAACATAAGTTTTGTATCGTATATCTAGAGGCTTCAGTGGCCACGTGGATCCGATCAGCTCGAATTTGGCTCGGCACCAATCGATCAGAATATTCATCCCTGTGCAGCATTGCAATGCACCATGGCCAGCTTCTCGTCGGACTCAAACACCAAGTGTGTATGCCAGCATACATGCCTCCAACAGTGAGAAGGCTGCACAGCTTGATCCTAAAAACATTGGGATTGTCGTTGCTTCTCCAGAACAATCTTAGTATACACCTGCCAAGATGCATCTGATTCTCAAACTCGGCTCAGTGCTTGCGCGCATGTGTTAGTCGGTATCTCAGTCTAGGCCGTCAGATTATGAAGGCCCAATGTCAGCAAGGCGCGTGACGTCAGCACGAGAGCGGTCCCCGCCCCTCCGCTGCCCCTCCCGCCGTCACCCTCTTGCGCGGCGGCCGCGGTGCTGCCCAGTCGCTGTCGGCCAGCTCGCTGCCCTCCTCGTCGCGGCTCGGCGAGCTGCGCACGCTGGACCCGCGCGACGGCGCACCGCTTGCCCGCCCCGCACCCTCAGGAGATCCGCGGGGCTCGGGAACACGCACACTCGTGGAGGCGTGGGCACCATCAGCGAAATGACCACCAGTCCGTCCGTCGTCGCTTGGCCGTGAGGGATGGCGGCTCGACTGCCTGCGCCCATTTCCCAGCGCGTGCTCGGGGCTACTCTCGACCGAGCTTGGCCCCGCCGAGGACTGGCCCCCGAAGTTACCCGGCCCGGCGTCTAGTGGTCGGTCCTCCGCTTGGCGCCCGGTGGGCTTGGCCCGGGGCACCGCTTCCAGCCGTTCCCGGCGGTGCTCCCAGTGCGCGGGCAGGCTCACGGCCCGCGCACGCCCCGTGCCGGCCGCCCCGCCCCGCCGCGCAGCCCACTCCGCAGCGGCGCGCTGCAGGGCCGCCACGTCGACCCCGTCCGAGACGAGAGAGCTCTGCCGCTGCTTCTCCGTCTGTGCGCGCTGGCTGCAGAGGCGAAAGGGCGATAAGGGACTTGACGCATTTGCGAAGGAGTCTACGGAGGCCGCTTCAGAAGCTGCTGGATGAGAATTGTATGGATGTAGCCTCGATCCTACCAGTTGGAAACAAACTCTGTTACGTCTTCTCGTTCGCAGCAACAACGGCTTTTTGATTGGATATGAAGCTTTCCACATATCCCTTCTGTCCTTTTCGGCGGGCAACTTCGTCAGGTTCCTTTTTGGGTCAGGTCAGAAACATCACGTGACGCTGATGCACTAGGATACCCGGCCCGCGCGCGGGTTTGGGTACACGAAGGGCTCCTTTTCCTGTTGCGACTGCCTTCGCCGTTACAAATCTTGCAAGGAACGCGTTCCAACGTTGTGACAATTTGTTGAGGTGTCGCTCGGAGTTTACTACATCGTCTGGACTATAGCAACGCTTCAAACTGATGCCCCAATACTGGATGGCATGTTTGTGGCTCACGCTTCCAGTCGCGCCATGGCCGCCAGGTACTCGTCGTCGGAGAGGCCCTCCGCGGCGGGTGGCACGCCGTGCCGATCCAGCGCGCGCGCCATCGCGTTCTCCAGCTCCTGCACGCCGGCACATGCTCTTTGGTCAATTTCTCACGAGAACTAAACGGACACGCTCTGCTTGTCACGCCCTAATTGTCCCTCACTTGAATTTGCCCGCCTGCGTCAGCAGAAGTGGTTTAAAACGCATCTGGTTAGAAAAATTGGCTAGTGCGGGCGTGCTCCTGCCGTCGCAAGGTCTCTTTGCCGCGGCTTTACCTCGCGCACTTCTTCAAATGGCAGCGCCGCGCGCTCCTCCTTCCGCCGCCGCCGCTCGTCCTCGTGGGCGGCCATCTCGCGCGCGGCCTCCTGCGCGTCACGGCACTCGCGGCGCCAGCGGTGAGACTCCTCACGAACGGACTCCACCTCCGCCTGGCACGCCGCCAAAGCTGCGCCCTGCGGCAGATGAAGGCCAAAATGGCTCAGCGGCGCCAACAAGATTTTCTGCACCCCGTTGCTTTCAAATTAGGCTCTGATCCGTCTTGAACGGTCACAGCGTGGTTCTGACAACTAAACACAGTTCGCGCCATGGAAAGTCACCACGCATTCTCTTCTTTTGAAGGAGCTTTTGTCATGGTGCATGCGCTGAAAGCATGGTGGAATAATAAGGGGACCTTTTCCGCAACTGCAATTGAAAGAAGCAGATCTCGCAGACCCCTTACTGCGTCGTCCAGTTGTCCGCGCAGCGCTGTCTCAGTTTGTTTGGCGACCTCCAGGGCTGTTCGCAGCGCCTCCGCGTCGCCCTGCAGCAGCCGGTGCCGGTCGTGCATCTCGTCCAGCTGGCGGCGCAGCTCCTGCAAGCGGAGGGTTTGACGTTACCTTTCGCTTGCTTCGACGGACGTCTGCAGTGACATGGTAAGATGAAGAAAATTATCTCCGACAGACTACTTGCAAAGCAAAATTTCAAGAGTACTAGAGAGACAAGATTCGCACAGTCATCAGACTGGAGGCGGCAGCCCACCTGCGTCTTGAGGTCGACGGCCTCGTCCAGCTTAAGCAGGCGAGCGGCAGTCTCCTGAGCAGCCACAAGAATAGGGTCAAAGACAAGTGTTCCCCTTTTCCCTGCTAGGGACCTCGGCGTTCTCGTCTGGACGCTTTGCCTCGTCCCATCCGAAGTCGAGACAGCGGTCCGACTCCCAGTGTACCTCCCCGAGCTTCACGGGCGTCATTTGATTCAATCAACCGTCTGACGCTTCGAGACGGAGATGTTCCCACAAGATGAGCCGAAGGCGTGGCTTTCTACGACTGTCGTATGGTTATACTTTACTGAAATTCTCTACGACTTCGGCACCGGATGGGGGTTCCCCATTCTGGGCGCTCGCTGAAAGACGTTTTCGCATAGGCCCAATCTGCTGACAGTATGTCTTCCTAATCTTGCCATTCTGTTTCTTGACACACCCCTTCGGGTGCCGTGTGCGCACCTTGGCCTGCTCGTCGCTCGCGCGCAGCGCCGCCTCCGCCTTCTCCTTGTCCTTCTCCAGCTCGCGCGCGCGTGCCTTGAGCTCCTCGCGCTCGGCGGCGTGCGCGCTCTCCGCTGCCTTGCGCGCCTGCTCCTCTGCGGCGGCCCCCTGCCGCCACTGCTCTTTCATCGCGTCGCTCAGCGCGGCCAGCTCCGCGGCGTGCTTGCGCGCCTCTTCCAGGGACTGCGGGACGAGCATCCCGGTCAGCGGCGGCCATACAGGGTGAGAGACGAGGCCATCCAAGAACCAAATTTGTCGCCTGTTGCCTTCGCAGCTCCACCTCAGACCCGGTGTAAGAAGAGAGCGAGCTCACAACAAGTTAAAAGATACGAGCCAAGGAATCGGCAGACCCAATCCACAGAGTGGACAATAAAGAACTCATCTCCGAGAGAAAGTTCGAAAAGAGAGTATCTAGAATTCCATTCTATTCTTTGAGGAGCTTTTTCCCTTCTTTATTTGCTAGCCTCCCCTTTGAATGAAACAAGCTAACTGATGAGTCTACAACAGTGTCACAGAATGTATCAGAAGTGGAGGATCAACGAGAAGCAAGAAAGCCAGTCTGCCGGTAGAACGGACCCTCAACGGAATTACTAACCAGAACGCATGGTCACGGTATGGGACGCCTCACCGGAACGAGAAGCGAAGTCGAAGAGCGAGCCCCTCACCAGTATTTCCAGGCTGTGCCATCCAGTACTCGCCCTGACTTTCCTCCACCACTAACGCCGAACTTCAGCACGTGGCCTTGCTGTCGCCTCACCTTTTTCCTCCACTCTGCTGCTGCTGCCAGCGCGGCCTCGTGCTCCTCCCCCGCCGCTTTCTCCGCCGCCTCGGCTACTCTGATCGCGTCGGCTACCTTGCGCCGTAGCGCCTCCAGCTGTCCCTCCAGCACCGCCTCGCGCGCCGCCCCCGCCGCCACCTCCGCCCGCGCCTGCCGGGCCTCCAGCTCGGCCGCCTGCTTGCCCGCCTCCAGCTTCTGCACGCAGGCAAGTGAAGGGACAATCTTGGTTTAGAATTTGGACAAAAGATGAGATGAGGAGGCCGAGACCTCGCCTGGTCGTCGAGTCATCTGTCGCACCTTGAGGCCATGGCTGGTCCCCGACGACCTCGATGATTGAACAATGATTGCAATACATCTTCACGTAGAACGAGGTCGAAGGATACGAAGGCGCCGACCTTTCGACTTTAGTCAAGCACCGACGTCGACAGTGTTCGACCTTCGTGGCTGCCAAGTTCAATACAATGGGTACCAGTCACCTCGAAACGAAGCTGATTGCATGCTCGACTCAAGCGACCACGACTCGTACGCTGACTGCCAACCCTGCTTTCAGCTCTCTGCACACTCTGTAACCCTTTCCTCCGTCCCGCTCTCGCCCCGTGCTGCCTCACCTCCTGGTGCGCGCGCGCCTGCACTGCCTCCTCGCAGTGGAAGCACGGCGCGCCCGCCTCCCCCGCGTGGCTGTGGCGGGGCACGTTCTCCTTGGCGGGATGCGCCAGCGTCTGCGGCAGGCTGGCCAGCGGGGCGCGCGCGCTCGTGATGGCCTCCTCCAGCGCGGAGCGCCAGCTGGTGACGGACGACGGCAAGGGGGGCGGCGCGGACGATACCGAGCGCAGGTACGAGCGGGGGGCCGTGGTCAGGCCTGCACCAACAAAACGAGAACCGCAAAACCGTTGGGTCGTCTTGTTTCAGGTGCCCGGCTGCCATACTGCCAGAATGATCAAGCTCGTTGTCAAACACGAAACGAGCCCGATCTGACAACCCCGAAACGGGGATTGTCTCCAAATTTTGGTGGAGCGGAAAAAGCTTGCAAAAGCAGCGACTCAGCTCAGATGCCACAATAAGCACTGGAAGGAGCTCCTCCCAATACCCATGTCGCAATTGGCTCTCCCGGCCCTGCTAGCTCAGCCGCTTGCATCAAAATGAGAGGTGCCCCGCAGCAGACTCACTGCCGTTGAAAGGGTCGCGGTAGGTGGCCTGCGAGCTGACGCTGCGTGCAAGTGAGCTGGTGCGTGTGAGGCTGCGCATTGTCGCGCGAGGTGCGTCGTAGAAGCCGTCTGAGATGGGGGCCGTACTGAACCAGCCACCGTCCTGGGTGTGGCCGGAGAAGCGGCGGCCCGCCTGGGAGCCAGACTTTCTGCAGCGAATGAAGACAGACATTTGAGGGGAGCCCACAAGCTCCGTTTCGTATTCGTGAAGGAGTTGTGTAAATAAGTTTGATGATGGGGGTGTGAGCTGGGATTCTCGATGGTACTGCTGGCCCAAAGCAGAACCGTGCAACTCTTACATTATTACCGTTGAAACCAGATTCGACTTCCAAGTGCCAACTTCTTTTTCGATCCTATTCCTGTCTAACATTCATACGAGCCGTTTGAAGCTAGATTGCTGAGCTCAACGTTTCTTAGGGACTGGCGATCAGCTGCGCATGCTGATACCTGCTTGAACGCTGAAATTCATCCCTCTTGGACGGTGCAGCTTCGCCAGCAACGTCATCGCTTCGTCTCTGCATTCTTTTGATCTCCGCTTCTTCAGAGAAAGTGGGCCAATTGCCGTCCTCTGAAAGGGGCGCTTCCAACTCAGCCATGCAGCTATCAGAAAATGCTGCTATAGCTTTCTGATGCAGCTATGAGAGGGCTAAAAGCGAGAAGCTTCCGCTTGTGCTTGGGAAGTGGTTCTGCTTTAAAGAATAATCGCCGAATCAAACTTTACTTTGCTCTCTTTCGGGCCCACTGTGCTCCTCACAGCACAACAGCATAATTGTCCGAGAGTCTTATCACTGGCCCCGATAGCAACGAGCTCGCCAATGCTGTGGATGTGCCCGGCTTCTCAGTGAGCGCCCATTGGCCCGGCAAGACTAGCCTTTGGACCTTGCAGTTAGACCGGATTGATCACATAGAATATGGAGACATCAGGCCCCAAAAGATCTTCCGTTTCTTTTTAGCTGCTTTGAGATATCAGTAGGCGAGTAAGTCTCATAAGTCTGATTCAATAGCACGACTTTGGCAGCATTGAGCGGATCGACATCAATCCTGATCAAAGTCTACTCTCGCTTCAGTTTGACGTCATGAGATCGAGGACCTTTAGACGGCTAGATGTGAGAAAGCGGATAAGGATCTCGACTTGTCTAATCGTAGGCATTGGATCAACTACTGTAAGGCCGCATGAATGCAGCAATACTGCGTCATTAGAGGTCACCTGGCCTGATTGTGTCCTGCCAAAGAAAGCGACATGTGCGAAGTCCGTTTCATGCGCGCCAAAATACGAACGGCGAGATATCCAAGGGACCCAGTCCAACATTGAGCCTGCTAACTTGTCCATTCCAAGGGTCACAATATGTCGTACTGTTCACGTATTTGATTCCTCCAAAGAGTTTTGAGTCGATGAATGCTGCATCCTCGGAGCGCATCTGGGCCTCAAGCTATGAAGCTAGGGCCGAGGTCTAAGGCAGCGTACTGAAGCTAGATCCAACAGCGGATGTCAGAACACAAGCTGACATCATGAGCAGACTTTGTCACATTGCTCGGGTCAGGGGAATGCGAGCCGTCTGGCATTCGTCATGTGCTAGCAACATCATGAACAGATTGCAGCGAAGATTTTCTGCACACTGGGATCCGACGTACGCGTGCCGGCACGTTCAAGTATGAGCCTGTCTTCAGGGATAATTCAGTGCCTCAGCGCCGCGCAGCGTGCAGCCCGCTGCACGCTGCATGGCGATAGCTGGGCCTAGGTAGCATACCAACCCAGCTCAAGGTTACGTGAGTACCTACCAAAGCCTCAGCCTTTTAACTATTACGGTAGACCGACTCCCTGTACAGTTGTACCACGCGACTTCTCTTTCCCGCGGCCAAACAGGAATCCCCCAACTGACGTCAGCCCCAGATACATACCAGATTAGCTTGCGTCATTGTATATCTTGGGGTACGCAACCGGCCGTTAAAGCTGGTGGCGTGGGTACTAACAAATCGTCCGATGATACGCACCTTCCAAATGGCCCCTTGTAAACCGTCGATAAATTGTCGTCGATGTCATCGCCTTGTGCAAGTGAGTCAGACTCCGACAGAGCCCCCTGACACAGCCCTACCAGATTTCCGCTGTTTCCAAATTGACCACGTAGGCTGGCGCACTGTCCAGGTGGCAGCTTCAACCGTCTCGCCCGCCTTTGCCAAGGTGTTGCTCTGCTTGAGCGGAGGTCCGAGGGCCACCATGGATGCCGCATGCCCATGTCGAGCTGGATGTGCAAGCCGATTAAAAGGTCCTCGCGCTGCGGGGTTCCCATGCACAGTGTCTGAACTATGAGCGCAAACCTGCTTTGCATGTGAAACTTTTGCGTAAATTTTGAGCAGTCTTCAGCAAAGACAAGCTGGAAAGAAACTTCGAGCAATCGGAGAGCTCTGCGAACTTCGTCCTGTTGGTGCTGCAAGCTACCGTTTACTCGTTCAATGAAGAGGTAGAGACGGATCCTGTAGCTGCTTGAGGAGTTGGCTGTGTTTTACCTTCAAGAGAAGAAGAGTGCCGGATCAGAGATCTGAGCAAGGTCCTCGCTGAAGCATGCAATTGCCAGATTGCAAAGATCAATAACAACGACTTCAAAGTGCTTAGAAAGTCGATCCTGAGCTGCCATGGAGGCGTGTGCCTCAGCCCGCACAGGAGCGTTCGCTCCCACTCATTGGACTTCCAGCTGGAGAACTAGTGGTGGTACAGTCCGCCGCAATCAAACCCGTGGTGGACGGCCAGTATCTGGACTGCCCACTTTCTGGTCTGGTACACCCTTGTACACGCGAACCAGCTTCTTGGGTCGGTGCCAGAACCAGCAAGATGAGCGGCAAAGCTGCCGGCAGCCAACGCGGGGTGTGCGCTGCCAGGCGGTGGAGCATGCCCAGATGAGCAAGGTGTTTGCCAGACAAGCAAAGCCGGCCAGCGGGGCCGTGCAGACAGCGGGGCAGGGCACAATTGAGATCAAGGGGCGTAGAGGCGCGCAGGAGCGGGTAAAAAGCGAGGCCGACGCTGTCAACGAAGAGGTAAGGAGCCCTTGTGGTAGTGAAGCTTCATCAGCACCTGGACTCTTTGTGTGGGCGACGGTGCTGTTTGATCTGGATTGTTTGCTGGCGCTGTACATAGCGTGGTTCGAGTTAAAAAGCTTAAACACCTGGCTGACTTGACCAGGCTGATCACCATGGGCTTGTATGAGAGAGGTCTCGGGCAAACTCGCTGACTTCGAGTTCTGTCAGTCAGCCATTCGGCCATTCGTTCTTATTCATTCATTGTGGTCTGTTGCTTGCAGAGGTTAGATGCCCTTTCAGCCACTCTGCGAGGGGCTCTGGCTGCAGCTGTCCTGAACGGGGGAGATAACCTCCATATGGTGGCAGCCTCCATCGTGGCCCTCACCCTGGTGAGTTCGCACACTTCAAACAACGTTCATGTTTTGATGGGCAACTGAAGATTACAGTTCGAACTTGTCAAAGTTCTGATATGCAACTGTAAGATTATAAACGTCGGTAGCACTGCTGGTCATTTGAAAACACGAACAGTACAGATGGGCTGGAGCGATTTCTTGCTTGATTTTCGTTTTGCGTCCTTCTCTGCAAGTGGCGTTCAGCTTTGCATACAGTATGTTGAAAGTCTGATCCTGCTTATGCAAGAGGCTCCTCGAACGATTGCTGCTTTTTGTGCAGTGTCCAATCATGTGAAGTGTTCTGGGCTAGCAGTTTGATCTAATGCCCAGGTCTTCCTTTGGAGGTTCTGTTGTTTCCTTTTAGTCTATCGAGGCACCTGTGTTGTATCGGTTTCTGCACAGTACTTAGCTTACTTATTCCACGTGCTGACTCGCCCCACTTGTGTTTTCCAGGCCTCTGTTCCCCCTCAGCAGCTGGGCACTTTCATCATGCAACTAGGAGACTCCACCGTCCTGCCTTCCCAACAACAAATTGAAAAGCTGCTCAGGTAGGAGGACATATTCCACACTTTAGGAGTTTGATTCCGGCCTTTCAGGACCTTTGTCCTGCTGGGCAGTTTCCTTCTCTTCTCATACATTTGAAACGAACTGGACTGCATGCGTTTTTCTTTGCTTCTAACAATCCGAGGAATAATCAAGTGATCGAGGAGAGCTGCCCACATGGCCCGAACGATCTTCCGCATTCATCAGTTGAATGCCTCAGTCACGTGTTTCGTTCCTGTGCTTGCGGATTTTAGTATATGCTTTTACCTCTTTGAGCTGTCTTGACTTTGTAAGACTGATTTGATTAGTTTGGGATCCTGCGTTGGATTTGTTCTGCATGCCATGCTTCCCCTCTCGAATAAAAATCAAGCGTTTCATGTGATGCGTCCTGTGAGAATCTGGGTTTGGTTTCCTACGTTTTCGACTAGCTTTTCAATGTGACATCTTAGTCGGGGTTTGTCACGTTCAGTCACCTATTTCTTCCCTAGCCTTTTTCTCTCTCTCTCTGATCTATGTTGGACAGGGACAAGTTTGCTGGGGCAGTCGTCCCTGTTTCATGGACCTTTTGATTGAGCCTTTTCCACATCTTGCACGAGCTGAACTTCACTTGCCTTTGTCCCTGGCAGACGCATCGACCACGCTCTGCGCAGCTCCGCCTCCGGCCGCTCCAACCTGTTACAGCTCAAGGAGGCCGTGCGCCTGCTCCAGCAGAGCAGCGCCGCGCCATCCTCGCAAGTCTCGCACCTCCTCAAGGCGGCCGGAGACACCGCCTCCGCCCTCGGCACTTCTGCTGCATCCAGCCTTAGCCGGAGCCTTAGCGGCGCCTCTGCGATTGGCTCCTCGGCTGCAGAAGGCGTGGCACGTGGCTTCGCTGACGTGGCGCGCAAGGTGGCCGAGGTGGTCATTCAGTCGGACGACGGGCTCAAGGTGTCCTTCGCCATGGACATCGACATGACGTCACCTAAGGCGCCCACTGCAGAAAAAGTTGGTGCGTTTGGGCCGCAGGCGGGTGAAGACGTCTTCGCGATGCTGCAGTCGGCAGTAACGGCGCAGCGCACAGCTAAGGCCGCCAAGAAGGGCTTCAAGGTGCTGTCGGAAGACGACGGCCGGGTGGGCCGGAAGGAGCCCGTGGTGTACGTGCCGCTCGAGCTGGCGGCCAACGTGACTGACAGCAAGCCCGTCCAGGTGCAGGTGGGCGACCGCCACGTTTCTGAAACGCCAAGTGGCAACATGCGATCGACCGTCTTTCTCTGATCTGTTTCGACGTTCGTCGAAGAGTCTTTACATTTGTTTACACGTGTCTTGACATTTCGTACGATTTCATTTGCTTCGCTTTGTTTCAATAGACTCTAGAAAAACATGCTTCGAAGCAAGTGGGCGGGCAGAGTTTGCCAGAGACGCATTCCTTTTCGAGTCGCCCATCAGCGGGACGAGAGTTGACAAACTCTCTTCTTGTTTTCTGTGCGCAGGTGTACGGTCAGACGTTGGTACTGTGGCGCCCCCGCCCCGGCGAGGTGGCTGCCATGTCGGACGTGTGCCCGCACCGCGGCGCGTCGCTGGCCATGGGCTCGCTTGTGGGCACCACCGGCAAGGACGGCCGCGGCAAGTGCGTCAAGTGCCCCTACCACGGCCTCGAGTTCGACGCCGCGGGGACGTGCCAGAAGAAGAACATCCACCTCGACCCCATCAAGGTGAGGCGGACTTCGCTCCTTGCGGAAGTTTGACTCGTCAGGCCTTTTGTTAAGTTCGTGTACGCTTAGTTTACGGGCTTCCAACATTGGATCGGCTCTGCTAATCCGGTTTGCGCGTCGTTGTGTAGTTTTCAGTGGGTTTAGCGTACGCTTAGTATACGGGCTTCCAACATTGGATCGGCTCTGCTTATCCGGTTTGCGCGTCGTTGTGTAGCTTTCAGTGTGTCGAATCTATATGAAAATCCTGTTCGCTACTTGTGGTAGATCGAGCTTCATTCGAACGACGGCTTCCTCCGTGATCCTAGAGTTCTCCGCGTGGCTGTTTCGCTGGATAATGAACCAAGCAGTGGGGTAATTCGGCTTCGTCGGTGAGAAGGCTGCCCAGGACTTCGCTAGATTGACCTCTAATATTGCTCACGCGTCGCTTCCACGCAGATTGTGGAGGCCAACGGCGTTATCTGGATGGAGGAGAAGGCCCCGGCGACGGGCGTGATCGACGTGGAGGCCATGGAGATGCCCCCCCTGCTGCGCTCCGTCATGGAGTCGCTGGCCCCCGAGCCACGTGACCCCCCCGCGAGCGCTATCCCCGCCGTCCCCCGCACCCTGCTCCGCCCCAAGCGCAGCAACGCGCCCGCGGCCGCGCTCGACGCCCCGCCCGCCACCCCGCTCCCTCAGGCCGAAGTACCCGATGACGTTATGCGCGCGCGCGCGGAGGCGCTCTCGGACGCTCGGCCGAGGAGCGACGTGGAGGTGCTGGATGGGCCGGCTCTGGCCGCCGGAAAGAGTGACGGTGCCGAGGAGGGCCACGTGGAGGTCGCGCTGGTGACGGAGGATGACACACCCGAGGAGCCCAACGCGGGGCTGCCCTTCAACGAACACTTCCTGGACCCCCACTACTCGTGAGTCGCCTACAGTGCTCAGTCCCAACCTGTTACGAGAACCGAGGTGCTTTTCCTCGACCTGTTGACAGGATCCTCGACCTGTTGACAGGATCCTGCGACCTGGGTTTGCTTGCATGTAACATCTTCTGGAATTGTTTGAAAGCGCGTGATAGGGTCGAACATGTAGATTATCGATTGCAAGTCACTGAGCTGACATAACATGCCTCTGAGTGTGCAGTTGCTAGTTTCACCGATTCGTAGCCGCGTAACGAGTCATCTATGCGACTACTTTCATCGATTTTTTAACGGTCTCATTGTCGGGTGCCAGGCCTCGTTTTCTTCGTCGTCGGATTCCTGGCCTGCGGAAATTTTCCTTTATTAAAGCTGTTCGTTCTTGCACGCGTGCAGGCAGCTGGGCGGGACGGTGGACATTGAGAGCGCGCCCCGCGCGGTGGTGGACAACACGTTCGACCTGCACCACATGATGTACGTGCACGCCTCCAGCTTCGGCGGCGGCGAGCTCATCCGCACGTGGAAGCCGGACCCGCTCACCATCTGCTTCGAGTACGGCATGAACCAGCGGAGCAACCCGTTCAGCAAGTTCTTCGGCGACGGCCGCGTGCTGGTCACCATGCAGCGGTCGCCCCCTTACAGCGCCATGGTCACCGTGGGCGACCCCAGCGGGGCTGTCGTGCTCAAGACGCTGACGCACGTCGTGCCCATCTCCTCCACCAAGTCCAAGCTCGTATGGCAGGTCAGCGCTCTTTACCGTCCGTTTTACTATTGTCCGAATTGTGAAGCTCCGAAGGGGTTCAATTCACCTTCGTTTCCTTGCACGTGCTTTTCTTCGTACGGTCGTTCCCTACCTGTGGCTTCATGTCCTAATTGTGGCTTCATGTTTATAATTGCACCCGGGCTGGCGGTTTCCTCGTGCCTGTTTCGACCCTTACTTGTTTCGACTGGTGAACCCGTTTCGTCTCGCTCTTTCGTAGCAAGGTGCTAACGATTCTCTTGTGCGTGTGCAGCTGCTGCGCAACTTCGGGCGGCCGTCGTTCATGGACTTCTTCTTCCGGCAAGCGGTAAAGCAGATTCTGGCGGAGGACAAGGCCGTGCTGGAGGGCGTCAACCTGCACGGTGTGCGTAAGGGCATGGACCTCGGCATCTAGAGCGGGCACAAAACGGGGCGCACGCAAATTGCTGGGGGCTGTCAGCATATTGGAAAGGTGTAAGACCGACGAGAGGTTTGACGAACGTCCATTTGGTCGCAGCTCGCGTGAGGTTCGCATATACATGTACTGTGTTTGATAAACGGACGACTGACATGTAGACATATGTAGGATTAGTTGCTCGCGCGCTGCAAAGATTCGTGTATTCAAATACTGATGTTGTAGATAGCATTTCGTGCGTGACGATTTTGTGTGAAGAAGCAGCGTTTGCTGTTACGTGTGCATAGAAACAGTTGAAGCTGACTGCGTGGCATGTGTAGAGTTTGCGATTGGATATGGTAGACGAAAGATAGTACTAACAAAGGTACGTAGATTAGTCTTACAAGGGTAGTGCATAGACATACCTGACTCGTACTTGACCTGTCAAAGGAATGTAGATAATTCACTCGTGTAAAGATTGTAGCTTCGACTTTACGAACTAATCTGCTATATTTTTATAGCGAATTGCAATACCACGGTTTGATCTTCTAGATTGTCGGGTTCAGAACATATTGAATCGCTCATCATGTGATGCTAGCTTTCAAACCTCCATATTTACCTGCGTTAAAGTGCAAATGGCTCTTCAAGCAATCATTGATGTCCTTATTAGGCATGGCTCGAGCGGTTGTAAGATTAAAGTTGAAGGGTTGCGGTCACTAGCCGCACTAGCCGCGAGTGCGTTGACGCCTCCGACGGGTTGCTTGCACTAACCAACGGTATGCCGGAATTTGGCATACATTTGTAATGTGTGGACCTCTACGAAGAAACATGCGATGACTGTGTGACAGCCTCTATGGCCGCATTGGCAGAAAACTTTGTGTAGGGTTGAGCATCAAGAACAAGATCGAAGATTTGCTTACCGAAGTACGAAGCACATGGCGCCCAGGGTGGAGCCAGGGGGGAGCCAGCAGCTGTAGCATTGAAACTGGTGGATTTAGGGGTGGGGACTTGAAAGTCATGGAACATCATATAACGTTGCGGTTGGTGGACCTAGGTTAAGGTGTAACCCAGATGGGTCAACAGCGCTGCATATATGAATTATGTGACGGACGATTTAGGGTTTCGCCTTAAACCTGAAATTTTTAGAAGGGTTTGCATACGTGGCGGGTGTCGTGGAGTTGCCCAACCGTTGATAGCACTGGAGTCGCCAGCGTCAGCAATAGGTGATCTTATTCTCTGCACCTCTCGAAGCTGGAGCATTCTTTCAACTTCAAGGAAGAGTTGGTCGTCTATCTCGCCCATTTCTTCCACCATGGCTGCCAGCTCTCTGCTTCTGCTCGTGACCTTGCTTGCTGCGGTTTCCGCTGCCTCTGCGTGGCGGCCTCTATTCCCCATCGTCCAGCCGAGCGTGGATAGTCTGCTGGGGGTGGAGGACAAGTTTGGCGCGTTCCTGGTGCAGTATGGCAAAAACTACACAGGCAGCCAATATTTGCACCGCCTCAAGGTCTTCCGGGACAACTTGGTCAAGGCAACACTCAATCAGGTGCGCGGACTACAGCATTGAGCTGGTCAATATAGAAGGAATTGATGTTTCGGCAGAATGGGCGTCAAGGTGGACGAGCAGTCATATGCTTGGGGCTGGTCCAAATTGCCCCTTGTGGCAGGTCTGATTACTGAGCTGCTACCTTAAGGTGGAGGGGGGAAATTGGGAACAAAAAGGGGAAATTACCAAACATAGCTATGGATGAACGAGACGTTGATTGCACTCCATCCGAGACCACCATGTGCCCGACACCCACTTTAAGCATATGCACCTCACCTTTAACTTCAGTGCGTCCCCTCTGAGTTATAGGCTGCCTGTCTATAAGAACGTCAAAGTTGGGCATCCTTGGCTCGCAATTTTTCCACACTGCAATCGGCAGGATGATGTCCTCTTATTAACTGGTTTTGTGATCCTTTTCGGGAATCGAATTTATTTTGGTTCTGTGAAAGATTTGGTCTGCCAAATGACACAAGGTGTGAAAGTGGCGCTCTTAGTTGTGTGCCACGAGCATTAGACTTGGAGATGGTTCCGCTTGTTTACCTCAAGTGTTGGTTGTCGATCATAAGGGCAGAACGGAAACAATCTCTTTTACAACCAATCTTTCAGAAACCGGGGGCACTGCACCATCGACACCCCCGTACAGCCGTTTTGTCGTTCTGTCCTTCTTGGGGTCTTCTTCAAGTGGCAGAGGCTGCGAGAATTACTCCTTTTTCTCACCAGTATTTCTTTGTTGATTGCCCTAGTTTGACCTCTTGAGTCGCTTCGCTTCTTTCCTCGCAATATCTCATACTTTTGTGCATGCTGGGCGGTCACAGCACCCCAACATTGTCTTGATCAGCGCTGTTCCTACTATTGTATGGTCTTTCAGGAAGCTTTGTTTCGGAACGCCTTGGTCAATTTGCACGACTTTAGGGGCCACTTTTGATCCTATTCAGCAAGACCCACATCAAAACCCCTCTTTTTACGAGCAAGTGCCCTCTCTCCGACCTGCGCACTTCCTATTGCAATTGTGCACTGTGTGCAACCCTACCTTTGTCCTACTTCTCTTGCAAAGTCTCGTTCTGCAAGTCTCAAGCTCAACGGACATATTCTGAATCAATACTTGTCTGCCCCCCCTAGTTGAACGACCCCGGTGCGCAGCACGGTATCACGCAATTCTCTGACCTGACTGAGGAGGAGTTCCAGCACTACTACCTGGGCCTGGCCTCCGCGCACGAGCCGGGCGAGAGCATTCCCGTCGCCCCCCCGCTGCCCACTGGGGACCTCCCCGAGACGTTTGACTGGCGCGACAGGGGCGCGGTGACGCCCGTGAAGAACCAGGGCATGTGCGGCTCCTGCTGGGCGTTTGCCACCACGGGCGCCATCGAGGGCGCGCACTACGTCAAGACGGGCGAGCTCGTCAGCCTCTCGGAGCAGGAGCTCGTGGACTGCGACCATGAGGTGGGGGAACACATTCATGTTGGGATTATGGAGATTGGTTATTTGATGGATATTCTCTTGTGATTTCGGCGTTGAAAGGCTTATGTTTAGATTTCGACATTGAAATGCTTCTTTAATATCTGAGTATTGGCTGTGACTGGGAGCCTCAGTGCTGGGATAATTCTTTTGAGGTAAGGGAAGACGGGTGTACACACAATCGGCTATTGCTCACGAGTAGAAACTAGGTGTAATATCATCATGTAATCTAAGAAGGTCTTCTATCATCAGGTAAGCCGCTTGTGTAGCCTCTTCGGCACTTACTGGTAAGGCTAGAGCAACATCGCGCTCAGGGTGCTGTCATTGTACACGCCCATATGTCAGGATGGAGCTTGAGCCACTTCATGTAGTATAAGCGCAATTTTGGTGCTATACTTGCAGTTATCCAATAGATAAGAATTCGATCTCACTTACTCTCAGTAGAACAAGACGTCCTTTTTTATGTCGCTCTCACCTTCACTTCCCTGCTGCCTGCTTAGGGGACTTCCTCGCTATGCTGCCCCTGGGGTAAACGTGCAGTGGTGTTTTCCCCGCAACTCTGCCCTTTTTAATAGGCCCCCCCTCTTGCATATTTACAGTGCGACCCCAATTTCCCGGAGGCGTGTGACAGCGGGTGCAGCGGAGGGCTGCCTAACAATGCGCTGGAGTGGATCGTGGATAAGGGTGGCCTCGTTTCGGAGGCGGACTACCCCTACTCGGGCCAGGACGGCACCTGCAAGCTCACCGACTCTCTCACGATTGCGGCCAAGGTTGACAACTTTTCGCGCGTCGCAGTCGACGAAGAGCAGGTGCGTACCCGCCCGCCAAGACAGGGCCTGTGACGGGTCTTGGTATTTGTCCATCGACCATTCTCCTGGAGTTCGTCAAAGTAGCTCACTAGCCAAGTGGCAATCGATTGGTCCCTTATTGGTGCCCAAGCAGACATAGGCATGATCCACCTTGTTTCCTTCCCCGTTGAGCTGTCATGTGAAAGCCTTGATACTGTCGAAAAGCTGGCTCCGACCGTCGATTCACAGTACCTGCTGTATTATGTCCTTCTTCCTGACACCCGCTCCAGTCAAAGCGCTCCTTACTGCATACAGGATCACATGTATGATCGCAAGCCTGCTTCCTGACCTGTTACCTTACTGCGCTGCAGATTGCGGCGAACCTGGTGAAGTTCGGCCCGCTGGCCATCGGCATCAACGCCAACTACCTGCAGACGTACATTGGCGGCGTGACGTGCCCGCTGATCTGCAACCGGCACGCGCTGAACCACGGCGTGGTGCTGGTGGGCTACGGCGTGCACGGCTTCACGCCCATCCGCCTCGGCTTCAAGCCGTACTGGATCGTCAAGAACTCTTGGGGGCCGCACTGGGGCGAGCAGGGCTACTTCAAGTGAGGCCATACACGGCACCGCCCAGGCCTTCCGCTGCAGGCCGCTGGCGAGCTGAAGTACAGTTTGCAAAAGAAATGAAGAGGTGCTTGCGAGAAAAGGCAAATGCAGATGTCTTGCCGTTCCTTTTCGCTTGCACCCGCTTGTACGAGCGGTTTGTGTTGGCGGCCGTGAGCTGCAGTGGACGTGCAAGGAGGGAAAGACGAACAGAGCTGATGCGACTTTGCTGTCGTGCAGGATTTGCCGCGGGAAGGGCGAGTGCGGACTCAACACGATGGTGTCGGCCGTTATCAAGGCAGAGTGACTTTGAGCTGGCTTGATCAGCCGCGAGTGCTCATGGCGGCAGTTGTACTATTGCAATTGTATAGCGGCGTTCTAGAAGTCCTCCTTTGTCTAAGGGCACTTCTGTGTATAGAATAGGAGGGTTGAGGTTGCTTCGGTTGTCTCTCTGTATCATTCCTTTCAGTTGCAAGGAAGGTTATAAGGGCTATGCACGAGGGATTACTTCAATATATGTACGGTATGATCAAGACCGAGTCACGCTTCATGAGGAGATTGCTGTGGTAAAATTAAGCGTTGGCCCAAGCTTGCATGACGCGTACGCTGTTTGAATATTGCAGAACTCTACATTGCTTCAACACTTAGCAATGTACGTAGCACTTGACATGCAAAAACACCTGTGTGCAATCTGGCTAAGCTGCGCGCAGTTAGCCCGGCCCCATGGTCTGCAACATGCCCAGGGGACCCCATGCACATTCCCATTCGTAATGATGTTTATGCGATCGAAGACGTTTTCGGTGATGCGTTTCAAGATGTTCTCTTTTCAAAGATGATCGGCTTGATTGTAGCATGCCGCCCCTCGCATCACTTCATGCATTATATATTGATTGAACACTGAACGACCAATGATATCGATACAGAACTGTATGGCCGCCCCTGAGATCATACATGTCCAATGGCGATCCGTGGTATGCACCATCTGGCATGCATTGAATCACATATGCAGGAATTGAGATCGGTCATGCTCGATCGGATCGACGCTTGGCCCATATTGTGCTTCAAGTGGTCGGCGGCCGCGCTGCGAATGATGCCATGTAGGATATAGCGTTGCATGATAATGCCATTTGCGAGCGCGAGCCTGACGCATTCAATTTGCAACGCGATCACATGGCGTGACTGCGTGCATCGGATTCAAGGGAGACCAGTTCGAGGCTTGCCGGGTAGCTACTTTTTATGCTATCATGCAACCTGTACCGGTGAGTGCGGCAGCCCCATGGGCCCGGTCGGCCCCCGATTAATGTATCGGGGGCAAATTGGACTTTGGTCGCACGTGATTTGACTCTGGATTCTATACAAAGCGTATAATATAGCACTTACTGGCAAAGATTCCGGGGCGCCTTATTAGCTAGTGTCAATTCACCTTGAACTTTTGCAATTGAGGCCGGCCGGTATACGTCAGCCTTCTACTATTTCTATTGCAACCCTGAGTGCTGTCTGTTAAAACTAACTATGTAGGATAACTTGCTGGTGCATCTTTCTTACAAACCTGCAAAAATGTTGCTTAGCTTATTCAGAGTCGTGGCGAAGAACCACGTTGTAGATCTTAACCGAAAACACTATACGAATACATATTATAAAGCCTGCCGCGCTCAACGCTCAAACTTCGTACGTTCAATTGTACTATTTTACTTCCATATGGTCGACTATGTCCCAAAATGTACGACCTACACATATACTTGCTCACGCAATACATAGACCCATGACTACTCTAGTACCTAGCACCTGCTCCGAGCCCGCTAGAGCTAGTAGAGCAGAAATGAGCCAGAGCTTATAGACATATGTACCGCATACTACGAGAGTACTGCCCCTTGAGATTGCTGTGGGTGCTGCCTATCTTTACATTACCTATTTGGTGTAGCGTTAGCTCGTTTAGAAAACGCTAAGCCTCCGGTTCACACACAAATCTCGAACCCCCGTGTAACTTGAAAGACCCTCCAACACGCCGTTATCAGAAAGGCCCGCGGTCGCCTTGAATGGCGGACTGGGCCCATTCCGGGTCGTCCGGGCAGCTCCTACCTATGGAAGTACTTGGCAAGCGAGCAAAACTTAACGCGTTCCTCGTGCGGCCGCGCGCGCCCTCCTAGAGTAGCCAGAGCCAGCCCCCGAGTGCCCCCGCCGCCAGGCCCGAGGCCAAAAAGAGCACCATGACGGTGCCCGCCGTCTCCGCCTCGTGGGGGTCCACCCGCTTGGGCGCCAGCATCATCAACACGCTGCGGCAACGAGAGAAAAAAGAGAGAAATCAGGGCTTTTGGACTGACCGAATCGAGGGAGGTGGATACATGTTACGCGCACCGAGCGCGCATCGCGTGTTGCCCACTTCTGTAGGAAGCGAGCTCCCGAGGAAATATCGTCTTGCCTCCAAAGGACGCCAACGTTGCGGAGTCAACAGGGCTAAAAGCTTACAACGAGTCGAACAAGCTCGAAAAGCGGCTCACCCTGTGAAGTAGCCGTTGGTGGCCCCGAGCATGGCCGTGAGTGTAAAGACGACCCACTCGGCGCCCATGGCGGCCGGCCCGTGCAAACACAAGAGGAAGGCCGGGAAGAACAGCGCGCGCAGCAGCACGCACGACTGCGAAAACGAGGAAGGCAGTGTCTTGAGTTCCGTGGGAATCAATGAGAGCATCTGAAGCCGACCGAAAAGAAAGGAAACCCGAAGAATGATAAGGTGCGAAAATGAAGTGCGTTCTCTCGTCTCTAAGAAAAGCTCGTAGATGAAGGAGAATGGCGCCGAAGCACGGACACAGAGGCAAGACGGAGCTTCTTGACAGCAAAAATAAAAGCAGGGTTCGGCTTTTGCAGTCCGGACCTTTCGTTTTGAATGGCTTCCAACCAGAAAGCGTGTGTTGTCGAAGTTGATAAGCGGCAGAAAATGACCAGCGCCATATCGACGCCAAGAGTCTGATCAAGCACTCACCACGATGACTTTATCGTTGCGTACAACAAAGAACAGCGGCAGCATCTTGCCGACAAGGTCGAACGTGTTGTACGTCGTGATCTGCATCAATCCAGGTGACGACGTCAGCGGCTACCACCGGTCTATTTTCGGAGGCTCGCTTCCAGTCAGGTCGCTTCTCGAGCAGAACGAAAAGAAGAGGGTGCATGTGTCCTTCGTCGGTCGGTTGCACGGAGCTGCCATCAAAAGGCTGCAAGCAGCGCAGGCAAGCAAGATATCTGCACAGTTTCTTTCAAGAGCCGTGCAGTCGCAGAGTCGTTCGGTGGCGAACGACTCTGAACACTCTGAACACAACTCTGAACACAGGAAAGACGTAACAGAGTTCGCGTCAGTGCGCAAGTCGCCAACACTGCCTCGAGAGGAACGGTCCGTACGAGGACGGTACGTACCAGCAGGACGGGGTACCAGTCGCCCAGCAGGCCCGAGTGCACGTCCTCCGACAGAAAGCCGGGGAAGATGGACAATGTCACCTGAGAGAAGACAAACAAGAAGAGACAAGGAGAGTCAGCGCTGCTCTTGTGGATTCATGAGAATTCCAGCCAGCACGGAGGCGAGGTTGTTGCAACTTGCAAATGATTGTTGGGAGGTCAGCCTATGAGACGACGAGTAGCGAAAATGGCATGAATCAAGACCCTCCTCTTTTTAAGACCGTGGCCTAAAGTGGACCGGTTTGGACTCTTTAGATCAGCCCATAGGTGCGCCCGACCCGAGTTTCTCACTCTGACCCCAAAGCGAACAACACACGCACCACTTTTCGACACGATCGCAGGGGCTCGAGAAAGCAGCCCACCTCCCCTATATCCCCTAGAACGCACAGGGCCCAAGCCCACGGGGATCGTGTTGATTCCATGCGGCGGGGAGTGGGCGCTCACCAGGAACACGAGCAGCATCATGACGGCAAAGAGCCAGATCTTGCGGAAGACCTGCCAGAAGGTGACCGCCGTTTGGGGTGAGTCCAGCTCGACGAGGACCGGCGGAGAAGGGGGGGAGTGCGGGGAGCCTGGCGCCGACAAGTAGGCGTCGAAGGATAGGTCTCGCTGGAGGGGGCTGGCCTGCAACCAGAGGATCGTAACGGAATTATGGGCTCAGAAGGCTGACACGTGTAAACGGGGCAGCTTCGTGTGGCGAAACAGATTGTGCAGAATGTTATTGTTAAGTAATGAAACCGGAGAGAAAGCTCAAGGATTCTGCTTCGCGGGAAGCGTTACATTGCACAGTCGTTGTCTGGATCTGAAACTCTCTTCCAAGAGCTGCCAGGATGGAATCTACATCAAAGTAGCGACACGGGAGAAAGCTTGCGGGCCCAACGGCCGGAGTTATCCGTAGACAAGCATAAGGCAAGACTTTGTGGGAAGATGGTCGTCTAGATGCTCACTGGTGAGTTCTTGAGAGACGGCGGCCCTGCGTTGGGCTCCCAGCGTTGACACCGCACCGGACTCTACAAGACGAGGCCAGCATGCGGTAAAATAAGTGTGGGCAGGCACGATAACAGCGTGACACGTGGCAGACATTGGTACATTGCTGCTCGCTGCGCAAGGCATGAAGCAACACACGCACGGACTGCCTAGGGATGCGCATGAATCTTATATAGGGACAGGGCCTTGAACCTGTGTCAACCATCGACATGCACCATCCACTTGCCTCAATTGACACTCTTCTTTCAATCCGTGATCAAGGCGCACCTGGCCGTTCTCTAAGTGGAGGATGCTCTGGGCCTCGCCTTCACGCTCGCGCTTGCGCCGCTCGTAGTAGTGGATGATGGGCAGCTGGCGAAGCAGGCGGTATGACGCCAGCACGCCCGCGATGAACGCGGCGCCGATCAGGAAGTAGAGCACCGCGCTCTCGCGCACCCCAGGCCGCGTGCGGGGCAGCGCCGCCTGTGCACCAATAAAGAGAGATTGAAGATCAGCAAGGAACAGGACGACTATTGCTGGGCTGCAACAGGTTGCAAGGTCGGAACGCGAAGCCGAAGAGGGCGGGCAAAAGACGCGTTAATAGTGCTACGTTGCACTGAACTTCGCAAAAACGGTAGAGCGGTGAATTGCACGCGGCTTTTTCTAGAGGAGAAAGAGGTGGGGACAAGAAAGAAGGGGAAGACCTAGCAACTGGATTCATCCGAAAGCCACTTCGTCTGCTGTTCAAGGATAAGTCTCTGCCTGCTCAAAATTTTCAACAGGCCCGCATGCTTTTCTTCAGGGTTCAGCGGGCGTTCTCCTGACGTGAGTAACTCCCAATCTACAGATGAACGCAAATTCCAAAGTCAACTCCCAGGCTCCTTCGCTCTACTGCGCCTCAGGAGCTTGACCCCAGCGCAGCATGAAGCTCCTGAGGCGCAGCGAGCATCGTGTAGGGCGAAGGAGTTGTAGGGCCACAAAAATAACAACGAATGGCACCAAGCTGAATCAGGGCAAGTCTCGAGGCTATCTCCCACCTTTGTTATACAGCGTAGCAGGCTGACGATGAAGCCTGATGCCCCCGTCCCTGCCGTGATGGCCTGGGTGTACACCTCTGGCAACTCGCCGGCAACACCAAACAGACTCCCTACACACAGAAAAGGGAAAAACTTATGCACACATCTCAAACTTCGTGGAAGCGCAGTAAATCTGCTCACAGCCGTCGCAGATTTAAGGAAAGGCTTTCACTAGAAATTCCTTCGTGAGCCACAGGGATCAGTACTACCGCCTAAGGCAAGCTTGGTAGGTCTGTGAGCAGGGCTGATGATTCTACATGCCTCTCCTTTCACAATAAGTAGATTGTGGCATTAGACCCCTCAGCAGTTCAAAGATTGGCTAAAATGTGTGCCGTTCCTTCTCCCGTCTCGTGATTCGATAGCAGTCAACCTGGGGCTTGGGGTGCCTCACCTTGCTCCAGCGCGTCCATGGTGCCTGCTATGACCACCAGCCCAACAGTAACCGCCAACGTGGAGAAAGTGCCTTTGTCATCGCGGATGAATGCCACGTCAAGGAGGGGGATGACCTGGGGAAATGTGACAAAGGACAGCCCACTGTCAGGATCTGTGAAGGGGCCAGGGGGGAAAGATGCAGCTGCAAAGAATGACATGTCGTTGGCTCTCATTGAAACCATCAGGAAGACCTGAAAAAGTTTGGTGCTAGAGAACCACAGCAGAAAGTGAAGGCAAAAAGCAGCTGGGGGAAGATTCTGTCTGACTTGGCGCCGGAATGCGTGCGCTCCCCTCACCAGAAGGATAACGAAGAAGACGGTAAAGCCGGTGGTGATGCGCGCGGCGGGGGAGAAGCGGCGCCCATAGTTGATCACCAGAATGATGGCGGTGAACTGGGCCAGGATGTAGGCCAGCGAGAAGGTGCGGCTGCGGGGGGGAACAAGGGAAAGGAAGAGGAGAGGGGTAAGGAATAGGGGACATCTGATCTTCAGGCAATAGGGCATGTTTCAACCTGGGGGCAATTGTTGGGCAACTAGAATTGGCCAACTGTGTTAGCAGTTGGAGGCAACCTCACATGCTAAATCCGACAGCCTACAATAGTCCAGATGCTGCTATTGGCTGTCCAACTACAAGCGGCTAAAGGGGCTGCTCACTGTTGCAATTGCTGTTGCCAATTGCTGTTGCCACAGATTGAGAAACATGGGCACGGCACAAACTCAGAAGGGGAGACTACACAACCATCTTGTTCGCAACTCCCATTGCCTACTAAGAGTGCTTCAGGCAGTCAGCCAACACAGGTTGCAGAACATCTTGCCCCCAGCGGATCGGCCAGAAACATCAGAGTGTGCCCACTTACTCAATGTGTGCGCCAGGGTAGAGGTAGCCAAAATAGTCTGCGGCCGTGATGAAAGAGTTCCAGGAGAAGAGCAGGCCGGCGCCCATGATGAAAAACACGATGTACGCCACATTGTACTGCAAGGACAGCGGCGGAAGGTGTTCTAGACTTTTGAAGGCTGCCGGATACATATGGTTTGCATAGCAACTAAGATGGGCTGCAGACATGACTGTGCAGTGGCATAGAGCGGCTGATTGAGATGGACTGAATGACAGGAGCCTAATCAGCAATTGAACAAGTGGGATGTCAAGTCTGTACTCTACATCTACAACATACATTTACAATAACATCAAGCTCTCTAGCTCGGCCAAATTAGAAAGGGGCAGCCGCTTCAAGCAATGAGTGGATGATTTAGTATCTCTCTGTCCGAAATCCCCAACTGCACCAACATTGACAAGCTGCACGCAAAAGTTCAAGCTGAGACAGGCCTCGTAGCCCATATCTGGACTGTCTGGTTTGCTTGACAGAAAACATCGCTTGTGAATTAGCGCCAAGCTCCTGAAGCGAGCTCCGCCATGGCTGACAGAAAGAAATCTCAAGGAGCTAGTGGATTGCGCGAGGCTTTACCCTGTCCTTTGGGGGCTTTTCCTGGGGCAGCAGCTGTGCCCTGAGCAAGGGGTCGGTCATCGCTGCGCTTAACTGGTCCTGCCCACAAAACTGTTGAAAGGCTGGTTGCAATTAAATCACACTAAGCAGCCGTCATCTCCTTGGTCCCAGCTATCTGTTGAGCTTCGAGGTCAGTCTTGCAATGATCTAACTGGGTCTTCAGGTATATATTCCGACCAATCTGCAGACTAGAGTGGGTGGCCATGCAGCATGCTGCATGAATGCGTGATTGCCACCTTCATGCCCCTCGTCGCTGCCCCTCAGCAAGTCTGCAAATGTGAGTATAGGAGCTTTGGATCATACGTCCCCCGATCCGCCTCTTGAGAGGAGACTTCATGCGCCTTCAATCATCTGACCATGTCACGCAACCACTGCTCCTAATGTTGGCGGACCTTGAAGGTCTGCCCAACTGCCACCTGTATTATGAGCAGGATAAGGTCCCAATCATTCACATTCACTCCCCTAGCAAGGATGGTGATCAAGCTGATCAGGACCCACCTTCCACCTGGCAAAATGGTGGCAATCTACCGTATTGAAGCAGCCTAGGTACGCCTTCTACCGATGGTAGCAGGATTCCACTGAACTCCCAGATGGAAATGCCCGCCCAAATGGCAACCATCAACCCTGATTCACATTGCCGTGCTGCCGAAGTGCTCACCTACGCCGACTCTGTACCTAGCTACGGTTATCTGCAACTCCGACAGCAACGGCGACTGCAACTAGGTACCGTACCGTAGTATCGTTGGGTATGTACCGGTACATGCAGCTCACTGCCTAGCCGGAGTCTTGGGTCAACTTGTACGTACTGGTACAGGCCGAGAGTAGGTACCGCCCAGCTCCGAGTCCGAGTCATGGCCATGTGCTTCACGTGAGCCGGGCCCCATCATTGCCAGCGCACTCATTTTGACACGAGGCTGCGTTTGAGCCTGTACAGCTGGCTTCCCATGTCGCCGCGAAAAAGCGTGACAGGTGTACCTTCTCATAAACCTTTGCCCGGTCGTACAATCAATCTGTGTGTCAATGATCCTTGTTCGTTGTCGAGGTTTTGATCTGCTGGAATGCGGACACCACTGCAACTACAGCGTGACCGGTTAGTTGTCCAGCCGGGCGGCCGCGCGGCGGGCATTGCGCGGCCGCAGGTAGCTCCAGGTAAGGCTCGCGCCGCCGGGGCGGCCGCGCGGCCGCACTGAGCCACTGAGGCGCTGACATGCAGCCACCCGGCCGCGCCCCGCAACTTTGCCAATATTTGGAAACTTGCGCAGCCGGCTAGCTGCTACACATCATGCTTTGTACGTCATGACTCATGAAGTTGTTGACATCAATTCTCTAGAATTGGTGTAATACAAATAGTTTGTAGAATAGAGAATTTGCTTTGCAGGGGCGGCGTTTACAACGCATTAACTCCGTGGGCCCGCTACGTGCTTCAGCTTGGTTGTTGTCTTCATCCAATGCCTTTGCTTGTTTCATAACTTAGTAACAATTATAGGTTATATGTCTGGCTTTGTTTCGATAAGATATTGTTCACCTCACCGCTTCGAAGACGGTGACCTGTTGCTAAACTGTTGCTTAAGTGCAGAAGGGTTGAAAGGTCTAGAGGACAAAAGGTTGGAGCATCTTGGCTTGCCAACCACTGAGATGCAAGCAAATCTCTTGGATTAGCGGGACTGGTCACCGCATGGAACATGAATGCTGAAGCATGAGGAGAGCTGGGCAGTCGCCGAGGAGCGGGCCAGAGCAAGAGGTAGTGGACAGAGTTGCAATTCTGCATCCCAAAATGACGCTGGAGCTACTCAACCATGACAAGCCACCGGACGACAAGGTGAGGCACCCGGAGTATGGAAGTGGAAGGCGCTGTTCGGAGAAATTACGCCTTGAAACCCTAAAATGCAATGCTGTTATAGAGCATCGCACCCATTCAGCAGCTTCAGCGTATTCATTATGAGCTAGGTGACAAGCAGTATCGAACAATCAGATGCTGAAGCCATACGTTGTGCCTGGGGAGGAGCATCTTAAAACATAAACCCAGCAGGAGATTGAGGGGTGCCTACAACATGTGCCCTAAGGAAGCCACTCGTGCACCACCTTACTAAGCCCCAGACAACTGTTTCTCCGTTGTCATCTACTATCATTGATGTTTGAAGCAGGTTTGTCAGATAAACCCATAAGGGGCGGAAGATCCTTGTCAGCCAGCGATCAGGAGCTTTTCTATAAATAGTCGGAAACTTGAGGGCTTCAGGAATCGAGACCGTCGTTCACACCCCTTCCCTGCAGTACAATGTGGCCTACATCATCTTCTTTGCCATGGGCGCTGGCTTCCTCTTCCCCTGGAACTCCTTCATCACTGCCGCCGACTACTTTGGCTCCCTCTATCCTGAGGCACACATCGAGTGAGTGGCGCTGCGACGCTTCGCAGCATCTTGTTGACTTCAGGTTTCTGACGTTGTCTTCTGTCATCTCAGTAACCTTGAATCACCAATGGACCGACATAAGTCTTGAACCAGACAATCTGCTGAACAGAAACAAATCAAGGCAACATGATTTCCTGTCTGAGATGGTTGATCGCTCTGTTCGCATAGACACGCTTCCGACATCATGCTTCATTTCTCTCTCTGTTTTTAGAAGAAGATACTGCGTTCTGTTCGGTCTGCTTGGCCATTTGGGCTGATCCGTCTGTGTTAAACGACCTCCGATATTGGAACTGTTGCTGATCTTCTCCAGCTTGCTCTCGCTGACTGCAGGCGCTCCTTCAGCCTGGCGTACATGCTGCCCACCCTGGTGTCCATCGTTCTCCTCATCAAGTACGGCCGCCACTACGCGCCCGCCTCGCGCATCACTCTCGGCTTTGCGGTCTTCCTCCTCCTCCTGCTGGTCAGCATTCATGCGTCACTCTAGTCGAGCTTACTCTGAGTCCTTGTGTCTATGCTTCCCTCCTGGCAATCTCGACACGGAAATCGAGAATTCCAAGCCACTCTGGGGAGATCAGCCAACAAGTCACTGTCTGAAATCTTAGAAAGGTCTGTAGAAGTTTAGGCCTCAAGGGAGCCGGTCCAGGTTGGCATTCTTGAAGCCCCTTGTTCGCCTTTATATGTGCACGCTTTCGTCTAGGCTTTGCAAGCCTTCGTGTTGGCCATTTTTCTAACGTGGTTTCAAAGCCGCTAAGCCATGCATACATCTATGCAGATTGTACCCCTCATTGACATTGCCGTCATTCGAAACGGCACTGGGACGCCCGCAACGCTGGCCATCACCATCGGCCTGGTGATGGTGGTCGGGACAATGGACGCGGTGGTTCAAGGTGAGATGCTGCACAAAAAGCCCCGCAAAATCCGAATCGTTTCTTCACCTTCGTGCATCTGCTCTTGCACTCCTCCGCCCCTTGGTCGCTGCTGTTTTTCGGTCGTCGAATTATCTACAAGAGAACCACATCTCTTCTGGGTGATTCAAGACCCGTCTTGTCGTTTGCCTTTGCTTGTTCGCTCGGTCTTTGTTCAACTGGCCTCTGTGGATAAATGGCGACCATTAAGAAAAAGCTTGCCATGACGATTGATGATCGTTCGTGACCACTCTCTGGAGGCTTATTTGCAATCCACCCGTTTGGCGCGACTGCTAACTTTAGCTGTGCCACATCGAGCAAAAGTGCGAAATGAGCTGAGACGCCCACATCGAGCAAATCTACGGAATGAACTGAGACCAGGACATGGCCTGGGTCCCGCTCGTGACTGATAGTGGGTCCGCCATGAGGTCCTGTAGGCCTTCGCTTGACCTGAACTCCCTGTACGTCACATTCGCATCTCGACATTTGTTAACAGTAGCCTTTAAGCGAGCAGTCAAACTTGGCAATCTGTAGTTGCGTAAAATCCGACGTCTGACTTTTGGGTACTAAAAATCTCGACAACACAGCGCGACTAGCTGGCAGTCAAGCGCCTGACTCATTGTTCGTTGTCGCTTCCCGCTTTTCTTTGATGCCGCACCTGTAAGTACTCCAAAGCTCACGCTGAAGTGGAAACACGTAAACTTTCTAGGGAGTCTCTTTGGTGTGGCGGGCGAGCTGCCGGAGAAGTTCACGCAGGCGCTGTCAGGCGGGACGGGCGCGTCGGGGCTCCTCGTCAGCCTGCTGCGCTGCTTCACCAAGGTGAGGGGCAGCGCAATGTGCCACAGGGTGTGAACGTTTGCAAAGCTTGTTTCGCATGAGCTTTGGTGGACCATTTTGGCTAATGCAACTTCCGCTCCGGGTCCGATGCAACTCTGGGCGAAACGAGCTTGCTCTGCCGCCGTGTCGAATTATCGGGGTATCGTTTCGACACTTATTTTCTTATGGAGTCTTAAGGGAAAAAACTTCTTTTGAGACTCATGCCTCGTCGACTGAAGCTGTAATCGACAAACCGTCGACTTGCTGCGAAGGTTGCCAGCACGGCTCAGCACCGCCTCCTCGCCGTCTGCTGACGCCGTGTGCTGTGCCCCTAGGCGGCCCTGCCCAACACGCGGCGCGGGATGCGTGCGAGCGCGCTGCTCTACTTTGCGATCAGCGCCGTCTTTATTGCGGGTGTGCTGGCGGCGTACCGCCTCCTCAAGAAGCTGCCCATCATACGCTATTACGAGCGGCTGAAGCGAGAGCGCGAGGCCGAGCCGGAGACGGTCGTCAGGGAAGAGGTGTGCATCATCTAGGGCCGTGTACGACTGAGCAACTGGGCTTCAGGGTCTCAGAAAAAAAGTCCGTGATGATCGAACTTCGTATTTGCACAGCGTTGAAATATCTGGTATACGAACGGTACGGTTGTCGAGGTCCAGCATTAAGTGCAACGAAAGCGTCGTGGTGGAAGATCTGAAAGGAAGCGGCTGCGCAGTGGGGACAAGCTCTCTGGCTTTCATGGCGGATGGGAGCGAGGCATCAACTTGACAACCACTAGAGCTGAGTGCACCCCAAATTGAGCGACAACAACGTGGAAAAGGCAAAGAGCAGCACTTGTTGAGCATGAGGTCTGCGGCGGTCATGGTGGGGCGCCCCCGAATTGGCGACGACTGCCGAAAAGCGGTCCTGGTTTCTTTCTCGTCGTCCTTTCTCTCTCCTTGCACATCGTTTGCTCACACCCACGCCTGGCATCGCAGAGGGACAGTTTGTTCGGTAGGCTGAACTTCGACGCCTCCTTGTCTGCAGGGGAGCGTGGCCGGTCCGGCCAGTATACACGAGCAGAGCAACGGACACAACCCGCAGCGGTACCAGCGGCTAGAGCCTGCAGCGGGGGAAAGCAGTGAGGGTCGTCCTGAAGAGTCGCAGGTGCGCAGATCAACTGGTACCAACAGGCCCGTTGAAGATTACGCTCCTCCTTGTCCTGCCAACCATTTTAATCAGGTTACGATGCGCCTCATTGGGAGCGGGCACAGCTCTATCAGCGCCTCGAAGACTCCACCCGTCAGGGAACAGTTGCTTCTAAGCCACCCACGGGAGGTCGTACTATTTTCCAACCAGCGTTCTTGCAACAAAGCCACTCGTCAACAGGCTCTTTCTTCGTACTAATATACAAGCGTCGGCCGTCGTGTCCGCCGCTCGCAGGTGCTGATTTCGACGCTGACCTCTGCAGGGCCCCGTTCTGGTACGCGAGCCGACCTTGAGCGCGTTTCTGGTATCGGAGATTCTGTCCCCGTCCCCGGTAGTTGTGGAGCTTGATCCGCCGCAGGCCCCCGTTAAGTTCGTACAGGTCTTCCGGAAGATTTGGGTTTTCGCAGTCATGCTGCTGCTCATTTACGAGGTGAGCCGGATGCGCACTGTCTCGTACTGGCGCCCCTCCCCGTTCTAAATTGCCCTGCGTCCACTGTTGCAACAAAGTAAGGATTAGGAAGACGGTTCGTTGAGTGAAGCTTAGAGATTGCTGTCATGTCTGACGTGTCCCTCCTCCGCAAACTCAATCCGGGTGGCTAGAAGTGTGGCTTTGTCAGATTTCCACGTCACTAAGCATGATAACGTCGCAAGCCAATCGGTACATATCGCGGGTAAACGTCCGGTGCGAACGTCTCTTGAGAGCGCACTGCGCCCCGCGCATCAACTCCTAGGGTTCCTGAACGCCGCTATACTTCTGCTGCCGTGCTTTTCGCGCATTGAGTTCATCTTCTGTGATTCTCGTCAACTCTGCTGCCTGCTGAGCTCAGCAAAGATGCAATGTCTTGATTGAGCAGAGCAAGCCTACCAGAGAAAGAGGGAGCGAGGCCTCGACAACTCCCGCTGTGTGCCCGCGCTGGACCCCCGAACACACGCCTTTCTAGTTGTCCTCTGACGGCCCTGCTCGGCACCGCTGCTTTTCCAGGTGACTTTGAGCATCTTCCCCGGCTTCCTGGCAGAGGACGTGCACTCGGCGGCCCTGGGTGATTGGTACCCCGTCCTGCTGGTACGAACCGGCAACTGACGCCCGGCTTGAGCAATCTGTCGTCTCCAGTAGTGGCTCGCGGCTTGCTATGCGACAGGAGCGGCGCGGAGGCTCCGTACCAAAATCTTCAAAACGGAGGGAGATGGTCGTAAAGGGTGCCTAGTACTTGTCAGTTTGGCCCTGTGACCCCCGCCCGTTTTGGCTGTTTAAGGGGCTGCGGAAGGCAGTAGGACCGGTATCCGCGAGTATGACGGTTCGATTGACTCTTTGTGAATGCTTTGCAGATCACGGCGTATAACCTGGGCGACTTGGCTGGGAAGATGGCGCCCCTGGTCTTCGTTCTCCGAAACGACACTGTCATCGTGGTAAGTGCAAATTGTTTTCAGGCATAGCCCAGGGTTTTCCGTTTTCATCCGGGGGATGAAGCCGGATCGAGCCAAATCTCGCGCTTTTCGCATTTTTGCTGATATTTTAAAGGACATTGCAGAGACGGAGAGAAACAAAGGAGAACGCGTATATTATAAGTCTAAGCAGCAGTTCGTAGATGAGCCGGGGCCTTCTGTGGGCTCATCATGCAAAGCTTCCAGAGCGAACGAAGATTATGTACGTTTGTGTCCTTCCGCAAAACGGACGCTTTGAATAAACATTCGCGCTCTCGAAGAGGTGCAGCGCAGCCGTCGATTGTCTGATTGTCTGATGGTTTTGCAAGGGTTCGGTCGGCCTAGCAAAGGTCCCTTCAGTGATCCGCATAGATTGTTTCCAAACCACCTCCGGTCACAAGAGCATCTTGGAAACTACCGTCTGTTACCCTTCGGCATTGGACGTCGGGTGTTCTAGACACGGGGTAGCATCCGACTGCTACTGTCGCCCGGCAAGTCATGTCAGACCTAACCAATATCCGAATGCTACGTGTCTGCGTTTCGTGTGCTTACTCCATCCTTGCTTCTGCACAGGCAAGCGTGCTTCTGCGCGTCCTGTTCTTCCCGGCCTTCTTCGTGTGTGTCTGGGGGCCGGCGGCGATGCGCAGCGAGTGGATCGTCTTCTCCCTCACGCTCGCGCTCGGGGTGACCAACGGCTACTTCACAAGGTGCAGCGCGCTCTTCCTTCCGGGCGTTTTGTTTTTTCCTCTCGTGTCGGGTAAACTTTTATCGGTGTCCATGTGTAGCACCGAAGTACATCACATGATCTGCAGTCAAGCTGGAAGATGGAAAGCAGGCTCTGATCGCTCTTCCGGACAAGCCAGCAGCCTGTTTGCAAACACGACCACACGCACTCTGTCAATGCCTTCAAGGGCCTCGTTGCCCAGCAAAGGCTTTCCTTCGGTTTCCGAGCGAATATTAAACCTCATGATCCGTGATATGCACCGCAGTGTGTTGATGATGCTGGCGCCCAAGCGGGTGGACCCGCACGAGGCAGAAACCGCGGGGACCATCATGGTGCTGTTCCTGGTGACAGGCCTGGCGGCGGGGGCAATCTCGGGCTGGCTCTGGCTGCTTTAATAGCCCCCCCCGAACAAGTGATTCAACAAAGGGTAACCATTTGACTTCCTCATTTGTCAGTACACCGTTAGACTCAATCGCTCGGCAGTGTATAGTAGGTAGGATAGGTCAGACGGACAGGCGGAGGCGTTCCTCCGAGGACTGTAATTGACGAGGATTGGAGCGAAGATGTGTTCGCCTTCGAAAAGATCAGCGCTTTTGCTTTAAATGAATGAAGCAGCCCACAGGTTAGCAACGGAAGCCGCCCCGTTTCCGTGAGTCGATCAATGTTCGACCAATCAAGCAACAAGGCCCCAGCTCACCATTCAGACAGCAGAAAGGTCATGCGGACATTGAGAATTTGATTGGACTCGCCACGAATTGGAAATGTTTAAACTAGTGAGAATTGGCTACGGTACCAGTCTTGCAGCAAATCTCCTGCCACCTCGTGGTGCCATGGCGCGTGCTGTGAAGAAGTGCGACACTAGAATGTTGACATCTAACCGTTTCAAATTGAAGTGGGTCACTCGTATACAAGGCGCCTAACGCTTGCGATGAGTGAATGTTTCGGCAATGAATCGCAAATTGTCCGGTACCGCGCTCTGTGTACAGTTGCACGCCAGTCTGATGCATGCCTATGATAGAGTAACATCATGCATGCGACTGATCGAGTCATGCAACGCCGGATATATCGCGGATTGCTCATTCTCGCACATGGTTACGTTGCAGCTAGTGACCGCCGTCATCTATATAAGACCATACTAGTGTACGTGATATTGCGATTGGGACGTACTACATACCTACATATTACTGGTTGGTAATCATTTATTGGATCTGTCGTGCCTGGCATGAGCTAGATAATCATTTGTTTATGCATGCAATAGCCTTAACAAGCTAGCTATCATGCAACCGTTCTAGCTAGCTCGATCCGACCGGCTGCTTCTTAAGTATTTCGATCAAACATTTGCAAGTTGACAATGGCAAAAGTGAAATCCGTCATGCATGTATAGCATGGCATGCACCGAGGATGCAGATTACTAACTCATGATCTCTATGATATAACATATAGCGAGTCTAGCTAGGAGGCCTCGGGCAGCCAGCGTCCAGTGACGCGCACGCGACCACCGGCCTGGCATGTTCAATACCTGGCAGAATTCTGTCAGTGTCAGCCCGGCGGGCCACAGAATAGTCGATCTGGCAGGCTACATCCAGGCCACATGTGCCGCGCCAGTACGTCGTCTCAAAACGAAGATTTTGCACACATGCCAGGAGGGCCAAGCACCAAAATTATCCTGTTCATGTGCCGGAACACCGCAACCACAACTTAATGGTGTTGCATACTGTGCTGGCTGCTGTCCAAGGTCGTTACGATTTGCGAACGCTTATGCGACGTCGTGAGTCTCTCTACTCCCCCTCCGTTCAGTCTACTCTGCAGCTACTTCAATGTACGCTCCTGTCTTGCTATGGTTCGCCGCCGTGCCTGCTATGATTGATCGAAAATTCTCGTTGTAGCTACTTCAATTGCACTAAAACGGAATAAGGAACTACTGAACTACCTGCGCTGACAATCAATCTCGCTCCAACCAACTTGGTCGAACCAACTTGGTCTTTAAAAGCAGGGCTTGCCGCTGGGGCGCGCTTTTAAGAACCTCAAATCACCGTTTTGACTCCAAATAATAGCAGTGCCGTTTATAGCAATCCACCAAATCCATACCTTCGTCTCAGATCGAAATATAAAGCGTTCAAACACAACCCGAGTACGCTCACGTCGGATGCTCCCAATATGGCAAACCCGCCTGGCTCTGGCTGGCCTTCAAGCGAGCGCTTATTTGCTGACGTGGTCACGCTCTACCACTTCAGCACCGCTGGGAAGTACTGCAGAATATAGGCGACAACGTCTTAGTTCAAACTGGTAGTGAGTCCCGCTGAGATAAGCCTAATTTTGAGAGCTTCGCACATTACCGAAAGCTTTCCTAAGCTCTAATCATTTTACAAAAGTCGTTCCGCTTCAAACTGAACGGAGCCGGAAGGCGGAAGACACGTGCGCTAGCAAGGTGGACTGACCAAAAGCGCAGATATCGACGACTCATGCAGCCTCAGAACCTCAGCGCGTTTTGCGCTTACCTTGTTGATGAGCCCCATGTAGTACGGCTTCAACTCCGCCACGTCAACCCGGGTCTTGCTCTTACTGTACAAGTCGAACTTGCTGCAGGAGCAAACAAGATATGGACACGTGTCAGGCGTGGCACAATTGTACCCTCCAAGCAAATGAAAGAGTTCAATGCACAATACAATACTGCTATTTGTGCCAATGAAACCACGTAAGGCCCACTTGTGTCATATTTTCTCGTATTTGAGCCGACTCAGACTCGCGATGGTCACTTGGAAGCATGGAAAGCATGGAGGCTCGCAGGTTGTTGACGACATCGACTGGCACGATTGAAATGCACTGCGGTCAAGCCAGGACGTACTGAATGCTGCATGCGCTGCCGAGGATGGGGGGGTCGATCTGAATTGAAAGAGCTCGTTCAGACATATCTGATCTGTCGAATAATTCAAGGTTCAGATGTGAGATGCAGGTTCGCGGGTCACTCACTTGAACCGTTTGAGCCACGTCAGCATTTCGCGGTCGTGGTCGTTGAGGAGGTGCTGGTACGCGTTCTCGCGATGGAGGGCTGCCAACAAGGAACGCAACTCAATGCGTCAGCATAAGGGAACAACCCAACATGGTCAACGGCAGCTGCTGTATAGGAACTTGTGAGAGCTCCAGCAACAGTATGGGCGTGCCAAAACGGCGATGCGAACATCTACCAGAAGAACATGAACTTGCGAACGGACTTGAACGGGTTGACGGGAAGTTAGAAGCAGAATCAAAGTCATGAAGCAAAGAGAACCGATGTAAATTTCAGAACCAGAATCCAAAGCTGTCAAGCCTTATTAAGAAATTGTGTTCATCACTACGAGCTCCGTTCAAAGTTGGTGATTGAGACAAGACGTCAACACATTTGAGGTCCGCCATCAGAATGTCACTCCACCGTGGAGCAAAAACGGAGCCTGCCTCACCATAGAAGGAATGGTAGCGGATGATGAAGAAGGCCTGGGGCGGCAGCGTGCAGCCGTTCAGCTTCATCACCTGGGGAACAACGCCACCGCAGTCAGTGACATTCTCTCACATGACCGTTGCTTGTTTGCACCTACTGTGTTCTGCACCGTTTTGATGAAGGAGATGCTAACAAAGCGCCAGATTTCTACTGCGGCTCAAACGGCCAATGCTAACTCAGCCCGACAGCCCACGTTGTCAATTGGGAGCTCGAAAATGCTTGAAGCTGTGCTCGCTTCATCGAAATCATCCCGGAGCTCGAAGACATGCAGAGGATTTCTCAACATTGGAAGTGTTTCGGAAGTTCGGCATCGAGGTCTAGAGAGACTTCGAAGCTGCCGGGTATGACACTCAGCAATCAATTCGCTACTTCCCTGCGAAACACCAACAAAACCGGGCCAGCTTACCCGGTCGTCGAGCCAACTGAACAACATGAAGTCAGATCGAGCAGCTGCCAAGCCCTCGAAGCAACAGAAGCAAACGTAGCACAGGTATCTGACAAGCCTCGTGAGCAGAGCTGTGCAGACTCCCTCGCCCGCGCCTCACCTGGTACATGTACTCGTCGTGCCCCCACGACATGTGCACCTTGTCCAGCCCACACCCCGGCTCGTACAGCCCCGCCTCGCTGCTCATTCGCTCGTCCTGGCTGTCCGGGTTGTCCGCAAAGAAGTGACTGTGCACGATGCACGGCGCGTGCTTGCAGCCGACGGGGAAGGTATCGCCGACCACGGCCCACTGCGGCTCGTTCCCGTAGCGCGGGTGCGACAGGATCTTGCCCAGGTCGTGGATCAGGCCAACCAGGTGGAACCACTCGTCGTCCGGAAACTCCCTGCACACCGGATCAGGACCCGGCTCTGATTAGATAGCTATTGTTGACGGCATAGATTTGATGAGGAGAAGGGCTTCTCCTGCTCAGTCTGTGAAGATGTTTGGATCGCAGGGCTCTCAGAGATTGAGGGCTGGGAGACCTTTGCAATCGTCCGACGCATCAGCGTCTATCTTTCCCGTAGAAGGGAAGGGTGCCTGCTTGATGTCTGATCATAGGGTCAGGTTAGCTCGTTTCTGCAAGTCCAAGCTGAACGTCCAGATCGAAAAAGTCACACATGCGTACGGCCCCTGTTGTCACACGGCTCAGGCTGGACCGACCGTAGTAGGGGAGAGGTCTCTAACGTGCTGGAAGTGGGTACTGCTTATCCAAACGGAGACTTCTTTTCACAGAAGTCCCTGGGACATACCATGCAATTGTGCTTCAGTTCTAGCCGCCAATAGAATTTGACTCAGCCAGTAAAACAACGCAATCGCAAAATGAGGTGCGCACCTCCTGATGGCCTCAGCGGTCTGCAGCAGGTGCTCAATCTGTGGCTCGTCCAGGTCCGGGTCGCTCTCATCCACCATGCCATTTAGCAGTTCACAGGCGTCCCATACAGTCATGCTGCCGTTCTGCAGCTTGGTGTACTTCTCTTCCTGCCGCAACACCTGCAGCCGGCGTACTTGCCCAGTCAGGCAAGGGGATGCCACAGTGCTGAAAATGGCTTGACTCCACTCTTACTACAATCTTTCAGAGCAGAGGGTCCAAGTGCCGCATTAGGATCGTTGGATTCGTTGATGGTGGGTATTCAAGCATGCTGCAGACAGACCAAGACAGAGATGGAGCATCCTAATAAAAGGATTTTCAAGCATGCTGCCCACAGACCAAGACAGAGATGGAGCATCATGTTAAAAGTAGAAGACGGGGTCATCAACTCTGCTGGTGATGTGTGCTTCAAAGCAGCATTTGAGAAGGGTAATTGTCTCTTACAAAGTCATACGTCTGGTTGACATGGTTCAATCGGTAGGTCTCCATCACCGTGTTGTAACGTACGTTGTGAGCATTATAATCCCTGTGCAAAAGAAAGCTGATTTCAGTACCTGCTGCATGGACCTTTGTTTTGAACCTTCTCATGTGAGACTATCACCAGATGATTAGATGGTCGATCATCCACTTGAAACTCATGATCAGCAGTGGGAGAACCCCAAGGTGCTGCCTCCACAAGAACAGTATGAAAGCATCTTCAATGTTGGTTCTGCGGGGGGTTGGATCATGGAGTTTTCCAAGACCATGCACGAGCAATAGTATTGTGCAGTCATTTGTCCTGTCTAGGGCAAACGAAGGGTTTCTTGCCAGAATGTAACTCTTTGACCAGAAACAAGCAGGAACCCTTTGTCATTTGCTAGCACAGGGCTTAAGGCCTGTCTCAGTCCCTCTGAAGTGGAGCGCAAATGGCCATGCACGATGATCCAAGAAGAAGGTACTATACTCCAGAAAGATCTGGCTTTCCTCAAGCTAAGACAATCATTGATCCGATGTGCAACCATGCCCCCAAGTACCATTTCCACCACCTCAGTAAGCACACTGTGCGGTGAACCAGTCACTTTGACCAGCATTCCATCTCAGGATGACGTATCAAGCCACTCTGCCAAGTGGCAAACCGGGGGCAAACCTTACCTGAAGGACTGGCCGAATGCATTGGTGTCAAACTTGAGCAGTGCATTTGCCAGGACTGGCTCTGCCAATTGAGCGAGACTGCAGCGTGCAGCCTCCTCTTGCAGCCTTTCAATCTCTTTCAACTCCGCCAATGACGGCCGAGGAGACCGCCTCAACTCATCTGCGCAGGATGTGCTTCCCCCTGGCGTGGAAGGGGACGGAGGAACCTCCAGCATGGGGACTAGCACGCCGACCGACATCTTCAACCTCTGATCAGACTCCAAGCGGTGCAGAAAGTTCTGCGAGCAAGATGGAAGCGTGGCAGGACAATGTGGTTGGTATCTGGGCGTGCAATAGACAAGTAAGGTAAATGCCAATCAATTGGAGGGACTGGCTTCAAAGCGCTGCCCTGACTGCTGCCAGGCTTGAAGGGGAAGGGAGAATGCAGGAGGCGAGAGCCGCCCGAACCAGGCCCGCGAAGGGAAGCTAGCGTCCTACGATCAACTTTCTTTTGCTGAAACCAGCTGCTTGGCGCCAACGGTCCAAACGACCGTTTGAGGGGAGCGGAGCGCGATGACACACTGCGTTGATGCTTGAGCCTAGAACCCTAGAAATTGCGCGCACTCAGTGCATGATGATAGGTTTAAACTTTACTGACTCGAGGCATCGTTCCAACCTACCGTACCTACCGTACTTCACTCGAGATCAAGTGACTCAACACATGACTGTCTTGAAGAAAGGTTACGGTACTGTACACCCCTAACACTGTGCGCACAAAAGCTGGCCGTTGGATGTTGCCTGAGAGCTGCCATGGACGGTGCTAGGAGCTCGACGTAGGATCGTGTTGCTGACAATGCTGTGCTTCTGCCCACGTGGTCAGTGAATCTGGATCCGAAGAAATGCTCGCGCGCAACCGCCTTGTCGTGTAGCTTCGCAACTTGATGGCCGTGGGATGGGCTTTCATAGAAATCTGACTTTGATCGGATGGCAAACATCCAAGCGCTCCCCCAAAAAGTTTCATCGACGATCAGAAAAGCTTATGTAAAAGTCCTGGTTACCCTGGCCCTCGATCCAGGGGGTAAAGTTTAAACCACCATCATGGTTCAATCATCGTCGGATATGGCGGTTTGCGCCCCGGGCTCCGAGCCAGGCAGTACAGATCTCGAGCAGGTCGTCGGAATCACCGGTGCAATGTGCATGCATTGACTGTTTGCAACACGCACGTTGTTGCAACCGGCTGATAGCTTCCTGGCCCAGAAAGTTCTTCCCGATCAATAGAAACATGTACCGACCAGGTCCAGCCAGGTTGTAACTTTTGGATCGTCCGATGAACGAGAATCGGCGAATCGAAGAAGCCGGTATGCTGTCCCACTCCGCCCTTATTTCTCCCGGTGTCCATTGCGAGCATGCCTTGCCCGGGTCTGTGCCATGACCGAGGACTACGGACCCGGGGGCCGGGGGCGTTTTCAACTCCACCGCATTTTCCGCGCCTCAAGTGCTAAATTTGGTCAAAAGGCTCCGATCACAGGTCTACCGCGGAGACTTGAAGTTGAGTCTGGCATCACTGCACTGTGTACATAGGTACCGCCGACCGGTACTACAGCCTACGGGGCAAGCTGGCAACTTTCTTCCTCGGAAGGACGGAAAGTCCGGCCGTTTGCAGGCTGGCCGCTCCGGACCCAGCATGCAGCCCCATATCATGGGGCCCATGTTTAGGAACAATCCGCTCAGGCCCAGGGCCACGGTCCTACACCAAGTTGCGATCTGCCCCTCCGGAAAGGCCGGTAGGACTAGCTAGTAGCTACCCAAGCAGAAGCCTGACCGTTCTTGCGTTGCTGGCTGGCAATGCCCCGCCCTTGTCGCGCACATGCCTCGGATGAAGCATGCACTGCAGTGAATCTAGAAGGGGCAAGAGGGCAGCATTGTTGGAAGTCTTGAAGCGAGAGCCGACGAACTAAGTTGCCAACGGAGCCGCCATACTTCAAAGTTAGACATCGTAGTGCAGGACAAGCGTATCTTCCATTCTTCCGCTCATTTGCAAAGGACCACTGGTGGACAACCGGGAGCAGCTGGATTGAGTACTGTGAGCGATCCGCGTCGACGCCAAAGAATGTCCAGCGCCGCCAGGGAATGCCATGTCATGCAGCGGTCCCAATGCAACGTCGCAGGCGAGTCTTAGGGAGCCCGACTCCCCCCCCCGCGAGCAAGAAGTCAGATTCTGGAATAACAAACAGGAAGTGAAGCCACCGCCACTCAGCCCAATCAGCTGCAACAGCTCTCTCCATCACGCCCACACCACCGTTCGAAGGAGCCGGACGCAGGCAGAAAAGCAGGCGGCAGAGCAACGGGCTGCGGATCTTCCGCACTTGAAGAAGCTCAGCATTTCGGTTGCAAAGCTTTCGTCAAAGACCAAGGAGGTTGTCTCAGCAGACCCGGAGACCCCCCATTCAGCGAGTTCTCACCTCAGCGGTAGCTTTGTGAGTCTCACCCTCGGCAAGATGGCCACTCTCAAGCAGTCCTTGCAGGAGGGGGCCGAGCGCGTCCCGAGCCCAGCGCGCGACGACGCCCTTGACGCCGCAGTAGCAGCTCAGGAGAACCCCGGCAAGGTCCAGAAGCAAGTGATTGAGATCGAGCGTAAGGAGGGCAAGGAGGGGGGATTCCTGGGGAAGGTGTTCTCGCGCAAGCCGTCCCCTGCCCGGTTGACCATCCCATCGGAGCCGGCAGCCAAGCTGCTGACCAGGAAAACCTCGCCCCCTTCCCCGGCTGGGTTCAGGTCCAATGGGCTCCCCCCAAAACGGGCACTCTCACCCCAACCGTTCCGAGGAAAGACAGTAGAAGTGCTGAGGGAGGGGCGCTCGCAGTCTGCGTTCCAGCCCAGGGGGGCGGGAATGAGCCCGAGGAAGACAAGCAACGAGAGGGAGTCCGGGCGCAAGTTTGCGACGTCGCCGCAGAGGTGAGGGCGAGAAAGTCCTAGAAGTCACTGACGTATTTGCGTTTCTGGGAACGGGGCAGAAACGACTGCAACTGTCAGTTCATGTTGTGGGTTCTTTTGTGCTTTTGACTTTGGGTCCAGAGTTGAACCTACTTTGTAAAGAGTAGGTCTAATGGAAGAGGTGTGGGCGCTAGAGTGTAAGGTCTACGTTTTTGTGAGAGACCCGTAAACAGGCTTTCATTGCTTATTGAACCTGCTCGTTGGGCCTTGTATTGGTCTTCATTGTTTCCTTTGAAGAAACTTGCAAGAGGGAAGTGGTCCATTCTGCAAGTTTGACTGATTATGGGCAGCCGTGCACTACTGGACTTCCTGCAAAATGCTGTGGCCTTCAGTTAGCACCCTTTGTTGACTAGGCCCCGACTCTTGGAATTGGAGCAACTCCAAAAAATGTCTGCGGAGTCGAGATCTGGTCCCTGAATCTGCCCCCCACAAAAGAACAGTCCAGCTCGAACGCCCAATTTCAGTGGCAGACCCTGTCCTGTGCACTTGATACTGGTACTTCACGCCCAGGTCGTCAAAATGTTAACCATGTCAACACTCTCATAGTCTGGCCCCTGGATAATACCAGGGCTCTTGTACACAGCCAATACGTCACCGTCCATTCTCAAGCCCACATTTTCGCTGCTTTGCTTCAGGGACTCCACCAGCCGCCACACGAAGGAGTGGGTCAATGCCCTCAAGCCCCCCGGGCTGCCTGCGGCCCACGAGTCGCGCAAAGACAGCGACGCCAAGGCCCTGCGGGATCGGCGGTCGCACGCTGTGGCCATGATGCAAAGTGCCCATTCACACCGGGAGGGGGCCGTTCTGCTGCAGTCGCCCACGGTCAGCTCCTCGGAGGATGACGACATGTGGGACGTCCAAGCTGAAGCAGACAGGCTCAGGTGGGGGATCCCCCAAAAGTACTTTCAGAATCTGGATAGAGCTTGACAGATTCCATGTTTGTCAAGTCCTCAATAAAGGCTTTCAATCTTGCCCAGCATTGTTGATTGCTGTTTTGCGTTTCTTTTCTTAGCAATGGTATCCCTATGGTTTGCATCTCAAGTGGTTTCTATGAGGCTGCAGCGCGAATGCAGAGAGCCCTACCCGTGGAGGCTTGGCATGATTAACAGGCTTTTGAGTTAACATGTTGGTACTGCTTCCTGCATGTGCAGTCTCAATAACCGCTCAAATCCATGTCAATAACAGCCAGTCATGGATATGTCTCCGCTTCCCTGAAAGGCATTTCTAATGCATGCTCCGAAGCCTCACTTTCAGCCCATGCGCTGATCCCTGTCCCTCTTGTTTCCTCTCCTGCAGCAGTGATTCTGCTGAGGGCTCTGAGAGCGATCACCTGAAGCTCGACCGCTCCGAGCTGCTGCGCCGCTCCGCCAGCGAGCAGTCCCACACCTCCCGCGCCGACATCCAGAGCGCCGAGTTTGCGCGGCTGGTGCAGCGGCAAAAGTCGTTTGAGGAGAGCGCGCAAAGGCCGCGGCCGGTGGAGAGGCGGGCAGGATCCGTGGTGGACGGACGGACGGAGACGTTGTTCTCGCGAGAGTCGCACTCGTTCTCCATGGCGCAGTGGAAAAAGGAGATGGGTCCGGGACTGGGGGCGCACACTATGGGGCACAGCGGCAGCTTTGGCACGGGCAAGGCTGCGGCAGGGCTCTCAGCAGACGCACTTCGGAACAGGTGGGCTGAATGTGCTACTTGGTCTTCCCTGGGGTCAGAATGTCTGAGAGTGTTCTCATTTCGAGCTGATGGAAAGGAGAAGCTCGACATCCCTCTAGTCCGCAAATCAGGGAATCGAATCGATGTGTTACAAGTGAGGAGTTGCGAGAGTCTCTTTGCGCTCAGACATTCTTCTTGAGTAGTGCTCATTGCCAATGTGGGCATCCTCCAGCACTGAAACGAAACCCGTAAAAGGGTCCTTGCTCCTAGCAACTGAAATTTGCTGACCGCTCGTCATTGCGAAATTCAGGCAAGGTGACAGCCCGAACAACGCTAGCTTCGGGTTTGCGTTCGACAACGCGCAGTTCAGTGACCGCGTGCTGGTCCTTGAAATCTCGGCTGACGTCAGCCACGAGCTTGACGGGAACAGCATTGGTAAGCATTCCCTTCTCGCCACTAAAGCTGTCAACTTGGGAAGGCAGATTATTGCACGGAATGCTGTGACAAGATGGCTTCTCAACAATGCAATTACACCTCCAAACCGAGGCAACCCAAGTTCCTCCACAATGAAAATGCAGGTATGTCTTGCTTTGCGCGATCAGGGTCTCCTTTTCGATTCTGCCCTCCGTGAGAGCCTGGACAGGCGGGATAAACAATGCCGTTGCAGTTGTGAACTTTTTATTGCATATTTGAACATCCATGATCAGGCAACTCATGGGCCTGTTCTTGTCTGTTTTCAGACGTCAAGCACGCGCCTGGCCAGGCCCCCCCGGTGCGCAAGCCGATCCACGTCAACAGCGCAATTGTGGCTGTCAAGTCCAAATACTTCTACAACCTCCTCGGCGAGAACCAACAGCAAGCGGCCGTCATGAGAATACGCCCTGAAGGTGGGCATATTTGTACCATACCTTACTGAGAACTTGGCTCCCGTCAATGTTTGCACAGGAGTAAACCAATATGAAGAGCTCGTCTGTTTGGGCTCGTGTGGGCGAATAGCAGAGCCCTCTTATCTGCCTCGCCTTGACAGCTGCTTCGGACTTCGGAGCGGGACTCGTTTCCCCTAGTCTCTAAAAGCTTGTCCCTTCCACTATCCGGAACTGAGCAACCTAGTAAGCCTTTCATCCACCTGTTTTAGGCCCTTCCATCAAGAGAGCTACTCCCGAGGCCTATTCACCAGTGCATCCCACCAGAATCCCATCTACAAGTGTCTCTGACCCTTCCTTGTCCCTTCTTTCCCGCAGACGAGGCCCCCGTGCTCGACATGTTACGTTTCATGTACAGTGCCGAGCTGCGCGCGTCGGCCCCCGAGGAGCTGGCGCAGGTGCTGATCGTGAGCGACCGCTACGCCGTCAGCAGCTGCTTCAAGCACACGTTCCGCCTGCTGTCCGCCATCACCGTGGACGCGCTCTCCGCCTGCCTCTTCCTCGACCTGCCGCGCCACCTCAAGGTGAGCGCCTGGGCCCAAATCCCTGACCGTTCGGGGGATCCCCTTGACTTGCTTGTGATGGGATCGGTAACAGAGGGCCTTCAGCGGAATGCTCGATCCAGTCGAGCAAAAGATCTTCAACAGGCCCAACTGGTCGCCCCTCGAAAGCGAGATGCTCTGTCTGAGTTTACCTCTTGAGCACCCTTAGAAAGGCGCGGATGTCTGAGCAAGCCGCAGCACATTCGGCCACTGTGTCTCGATGACGCATGCTGATGGTTGTTTTCGAACCCCGGTGCAGGACCCCGGGCAGATCCAGAACCTCGTCCTCATGGCGCGCTCGTGGCTGGTGGTGCACTTCCGGGACCTCGAAAAAACGTATCGGTAAGTGCTCGAAGCTGCCCATCGTCTCTTGAGAAGACCTGAAAGCGCAGGTCATTTTGTGTGACTTTTGTTCTTCAACCGCATCGCTGGTCGCTTTCAGATACTTCCATGCGACAGAGGAATGTCTCGCCTGTCTAACTCGCATCCGTGGGTTGCTTTCTCGCAGGACGCCCGAGTTCTTGAACCTGTCGTTGATGGGCGTCCGCACGATCCTGGAGAGCAACGTACTGCAGATCTCGTCCGAGGTCACGGCGTTCAACGCGCTGGTGAGTGCGCAGACCCCGCCTCTTTGTCGCATTCCAGGCCCTTTGCGAAGAGCTTCGTTCGAAGCCGCGTCTTCGCCGACTTTCCTGTCCTCCCTGTCCCAATTTGCAAATCTACAACTCCGTCACGTCTTACGCAGCGTCCAGTCCCAATCGGGTCTGCTTCCGGTTGCCTGTGAACCTGTTGATTTCGTCACGTCCTTTGTAGTACTTGGAACGTGTATGGTTCGCTCGCGGTCGGTTTCGATCCCGCTTACCGCTACCCCACCGAGTCTGCTCTCAGGTGAACTGGTCGCGGCACCACTTTCCGACAGCTTTCGCGTCTTAACCCGCTCTTCTGCATGTCGGTGTTAAACACGCAACTCTGTCACGTCCTAAGAAGTGTCCAGGGCGCCAACTCGGTACGCTCCGCTGTACCGTCCAAAGCCAAAATGGTAGATTCGCAGCCTTCTGTCAGCCCGCTTACCACTAACCCGCCCCGTCCGCTGGCAGGTGAACTGGTCGCGGCACCACTTCCCGGACAGCGAGGCGCAGCGCGCCAAGGTGGTGGCCAAGCTGGCGCACCTCATCCGCTTCCCGTTCATGACCACCGAGGCGCTGCGCCAGGCGCTCGACATGCCCGAGCTCAACTCCGACGTCGGGCGGGGGCTCATCGTCGAGGCGCTCTTCTTCAAGGCCGAGCCCTTCTTCAAGTGAGCCGCCGCGCGCTGGAATGCTGTCGCGGGTGTTTTGTTTGTTGCCTCTTGCCGGTGACTGGGGCCGTTGTGCGTTGTCGTGTTTTGTCGTTGGCGGACTGCGTGCTTTGCGGCCGTCTTCGAATCCCAATGATTCGAAGCTGTTTTCTTTCGCTTTGCCAGGCAGTCAGACAGTAGACCAGCTCCCTGACTGCCATTTGAAAGGCCGAGCCCGTTAACTTTTCCAACCTCACGACGTTCAGACTCTTGCACGAGGACTCTTCTCCACACGTCTGAAACATCCCGTGACCGCCAGGTTCTAAAAGAAACCGTCTTCGCTTCTGCAGGCAGAGCAAGTTGGCCGAGACCGAAACCGCCCACTCGCGCTACGTCCCGCGCTCCAACGACTCCCGGCTGGGCGTCACTCTGGCGCCCATGGATGAATCGGGCCGCCAGGCGAGCATATTCTTTGAGCTACCGAGGAGCCAGTTCCAAAACCTGCAGCCGGGGGGCCACATCACGTCCAAGCCGTTCGTGCTGGGCGGACAGACGCTGTCTGCGGTGGTCGCCAAGAAGGCGGGCAAGAACAGCGCCACGGAGGGCGTCCTCTCGCTGTGCATCCACAACGGCGTTGCGGCAAAGTCCAAGGTCAGGAGCCATTTACCATTATCTGGGCTCCTTTCTTCTGACATACTCTTTTTCAGTTGCGATGGCTTCGTATGTGGGCCTCCTGCTATACGGGCGTCTCCCTTTGTGGGCTCTCCGTCCTTTGTGGGTTCTTTGCGTTGAGTACTCTTTTGCCTTCTGGCGAAGGTCAGTGGGCGTTCTGAGCTACTGGCCAACCTCAGCTTCGTCGGCGCACTTTCTCCATCTAGTCCGCTCAGCCTCTTCCGATAGTAGTGCATCTACCTACCTCGGTCAGCCTCTTTTGATTAGGGTTGGTCAGCATTTCTCTGAGTAGCGCACCTGATCCGCGGGCATCTGCCGCCTCCAGGACCTCTCGTGGCCTCTTGCTAACGGCTCGATCGACGTCCCCGTCAAGCCGTGGGACGGGGACGGGCCGAAAAAGGTAACAGACGTTCATAATGCAAGGGGCGACTGTAGTTCCCGGATGCGGTTGGATATCGTGGTTGACTTGGAGGTCGTGATTGTCGTCTTGCTAATTTCGTGGGCGACACCGCCTTCCGATAGTGCTTCCAGAAGTAATCATGCTGACAGAACACTAATTTCGTCGGAGTGGGCACTCTATGTGACTAGGGGTTGGTTTCCTCCTCGGTTGAGAATGTGCCATGCTTCGAGAAGTGAGTCCCCGCAAAAACCCAGCTCTTTTGATTTTGCCCTCATTTCCCTTTTTCCAGACTGCTCGATTCTGACCGCGTGTTTGCCTCTCTCAGATCGTTGGCGAGTACGAGTTCTTCACGCGCTTCCACACGATGGACCCCTTCCAGTCGGTGGCCCGGGGCAAGCTGGCCTTCAAGAGCGGCAAAGAGGAGCAGGGGCAGAGCACGGTGAAGTTTCCCGAGGACAAGAACACCATGATCTTCCTGCGGGCGGACCTGGTCATCAAGACGTAAGCCGTCGGGGCTTCTAGACTGGGCAGGGATGAGAAGCGCACCCGCAGTTGAAGCGGCACATATACAGCACAGGCCGAGCGCCTGAATGGGAATTACAGGAAGTTGACTGTTGAAATGACGAAGTCCGGAGGGAAAGAACGTTGCCACTTTTGTGGTCCGCGTGGGCTTCGGAAACGGGGTTCGAAAACCCTCAGATCGTCTCATCAGTCTGAAGTCAAAGGAGGAATCAGTACTAAGTTCACCAATTCTTGACGGCTTGCAGACTAGGTTAGCTACAGAAGCAAGTTAACGATGTAGAGTCTCGGATCTTGACAGCACCTCCCACTCTTTGGCCGGTGGTTTAGCGTAGGGTTTGACACTCGCCTGTATAGGATAACGGATTGGATTGTAGTATGCAACACTGTACTTTACGTCGGCGTGGCACTTGATGTGGACTTTTGCAAATCGTATGATTGCTTGAGGAGTCTAGTCGCGATTCGATTCGGTCTCCAATCGAGCCGCGGCGCGGGGTCCGACAGCAGGTTTCCAATCGAGCATGGCCGATCCCACAATCAAAGAACATGATTGCTGGCCGCAGCGCGCGGCCATCCCGAGCCTGGTGCGCAGCACTATATCAATGAATGCATGCTGGCCGCCAGACCGGCGCGCCA